AGTGATTGTTGTTCCATAAAGCTGTGCCTATATATCGTACTCACAATTGCTAAATGCCATTCAAAGACTTTAATACTGCTAACAGTACAATAAGATACAGATTGTCATCAGGTTTTAACTGCCTAGTTTTCATCTTGAACAGAAAATTGTTTTGTAACTGAAAAAAAAACATAAGGCACACTATTAGTTGGTTAGCTTTAAGCTCTTGAGTCCATGATCGAGCTCCAGTGAAATAAAGGTATTGTTACAGGGCATGCCCTTTTGGAACATTTGATGCTCCTCTGCAGCTATGGTTGAATATAAAACTTCCAAGATTATCAATTGAAAAGTATATTGTATATTGTAGGTCTGGGGTGGTTACGTTGCCACATAATGCTAAAGTACATTATAATTATGGTAATTATTTAAAAGATAATAATGAGATACATCAAGCTATACAGCATTATACACAGGCAATAAGGTAAGTGAAATAGAAGTTTTTTTTATTCCAAGTATAGATTTTCCCTCATCCCTGTTTCCCCTGCTTAATGGAGCAGTCTGATTTGTTATGTAGTATGGAAATGTTAGGAGCTCAAATTAATTAAAACTATAGACCAAAATCTACAAAAATAGTTTTGGTTAAATTCTTCTTGATGAAGAGAAACCACAGACGTTGAATTGAAAATCAAAATGGAGAAACTAACTAAAGGTGTAAGTGTCCTCAATAAAAACTCTTTTTCCTCTTTTATCACCATTAAGATTAACCGTTATTCTTCAACAGAAAAATCGTTGTCACCTTAGCCATGCATATTTTGACAAGAGATATAAGATCCACCCTTTAAAACAAGAAAATCTGACTCTTGCTTACAATATCTTGTATGTTTTAAAATGAGATATATTGAAATATAATATGTTAAATATAACTGTACTAGGATACAGTTTATAATAACAAGAATCAACAGCAGTGTTATTTAATTTGCAGTGCATCCTATTTCATGAAAATGATTTTCAAAATATATGAGTTAACCTTGACTGTTTTGATAGAAGTGGAAATAATATAAAATATGTTTATTTCTTTATATAAATATTGTTTTAAAATACGAATGATTTTTTTTTATTTTTGATTGATAAAGGTTTATTTTTGTGACCCTAAATCAATCCAATGCTGCTTACTTGACAATTGATTTATGTTTTGAGAGGGATATTTCTCATGAAAATATAATGCTTTTCCCAAAGGTTTAGGGGAAACCGAATCATAGTTTTACTTAATATCTTGAGACATCCATCTGACTCGCTATTATCTGAGATATTCCTCTGCCATTGGATTAGATTTTGTGAGAAATACAGACTCAAAGAAAGTGTATTTAGGAAAGTTGGGCATATCTGTTTGTTATTTTTCTTGCTCAATACCTTAAAATAACGTCGTTTTGCCCTAAATTTATTATTTTACATCATTGAGGTATGAAACGATAGATTTTTAGAATTAAAAACTGTTAATTAATAAATAGATAATTAGTCTCATTGGGAGGTTACACAGGTTAGCCTTAATTACACATCCTAATGGGGACAAAACACACTTCTGGTATTAATTGAACGCATTCGCTCTGAAATGATTAATTCTGTTACTCTGATACATCCTATTTTACCTTTTCTGGCAAGAGCTTTGTTATATACTGTAATTAATCACAGGATTGGAAAGAGACATTCTAGCCTCTGTGTTGAGGTGTTGATGTCAAATGGGAATAAAACTCTAGAAAGCAGGGGCCTAGGACAAGCAAGGAGTATTCATTGACAAGTGCTGGTTAGCTTAGTACTATTAAGTAAGTTTTAAGTATGATGAAAATTTTCAGGTGATACCTACTTGTGTATAGGTACTCTTAGCATTATTGCGTTTTCCCTCCCAAGATTATGACTCCACTATTGCAAATATCATTTGACATCAGAATGAAATTTAGCATAAAAACATGTAACTTGACAAATAACACAAACATGTTAAAGTGTATTTAAACAGAGTAAATTATTATGTTATATAAACTGTCTGTTAGTTATTATATGATAATCTATTGTAAGTCAGATTAAACATGTACAATCCATCTGTATGTCTATATCAGGGGCTTGTAGCCTCACTATCTAGACAAGTATCCTTTGACATAGAAGAATATATTATGATAATATATCTGTGTATGTTTACACATGTTTTTCTGCATCGAAACAACTTTAAATCTCAAAAGAGAATATGTATAGTGACATACTTTTCTATATAATTTTAAGTTTTGTCCACTGAGTTTGTTATGAGCTTGTGTTACCAGTACATAATTTGTCAAGGTGTTTTCAAGACAATTGTACATCACCTAAACAAGTTTTTTTAACTTACCAACCCTAAAGTTATTGTATATTGGCCTCATATTTACTATCTACTCTCATCTAGATCATGATATTACTTACATTATATTGTAATATTTCTAATTTGTATGACTGTTTATTTAGGTTTGTCTTTATATTTTTAAATAGATTTACAAAAAAATAAAAAATAAATGAAAAAGTTTTTTGACATAAAAGAATGTATTGTGCACAGTGAGATGATAACAGATATGTTTTGTGCCTCTAAAATAACTTCAGATATCAAAGGACAAAATGTATAATGACATGCTATCCTATTTTATATGAAGTTTTTTCCATTTAGTTTGATATATACTCAAGTTGCATGTGTCAAAAAATAGGTACTTGAAAGTACTTGTACATTTTCTCCCTTTAATTCCTCAATTTTTTCATTTGAGATAAAAGTAGAAAATGAAGTATAAAGAAGTGTTAGTGTACTGCTTTGCAGTTTATACCTTTGTGATTATGTTTATGAAAGCAGTTGTGTAGATCAAATTAACATCTTGATTTGGGGGATTAATTAATTAGACAAGAGTGAAATTATTAAGTGATGAGATTAACGTGTGTTATTGGCAATCAAGATACAAGTAATGATAGATATCTTGTTGATTTATCGTAGAGAATTTGTACATTGAAAACAGTAGGTCCTGTGAAAATTTGGTTTCGAAAAAAACAAAAAAATCTATAGAATTGGGCACCGTCTGTAGAGCAGTGGACAACATGCAAAAGTGGTAGAAATCAGACAACATCAGTAGATTACACATGTATGTGTGTGGATCTATTTCATTTGCTTCATATACAGTATAATTGCGAATATAATACACACCCATTGTAACTTATGAAAAATGAAATGAATGGAGTTTTACATCTCTTACTTCTTAAATGAAGACTTAAACTCTATCAGTGTGCAATGAACGAAATTTTGCCAGGACAGCGGCATTAGCATTAACTTTCAAGGGATCTTTAATGTGCACAGCCTGTAGCACATTAGGCCTTGGTTTATTGTCTTATCCGAACGACAATGTGCTTTTACAATGTCAGCATAAAAAAAATTTTCTTTGTATTGTAGATTGTATCCAGAATATTCCAGTGTTCATAATAATCTAGGAACGATATTATCAAACCAAACACAGTCAGAATATCATTTTAATCAAGCTCTGAAACATAATCCTCAACATAAAGGAGCTCTGGTGAATCTTGGTAATATATATCAGTAAGTTACAATTATTCTTATTTTAATTATTTTGAAAATACAGCTTTAAACAAATATGGTATTGCAGTTTAAATATGATACATTCGTTTATTAGTTCACCTACTAACTTAATGATTTATATATATATTTTTATTTGTTTAATTATAAAACATCGAATATTGTACATAATTATATTGTAAACTATGAACTGTATATATATTAGTGAACTATAGGCTTATGGTCAAATAAATAAAATCAGCTAGGTTAGGATGGGTTAAGGTTTGGGGTTGGTTGAGGGAGGGTATAACCTTCTACTTTCCTAAACTGGGTTAGGTTTGGGGTGAGGGAGGGTATAACCTTGTCATTTTATAATCTAAGTCAGGATGGGTTGAAGGACAGTAAGGTTTGGGAGCGGGATGGCTGGGGTGAGGGAGAATATTACCCTTGTGGTTTTATAAGCTGAGTTAGAATGAAGGGTAGTAAGGTGTGAGGTGGGCTTACATGTCTTTTTCATTAAAAAAAGGCCAGTCTCATGATCATCCCAAATCAGTTTGAAGACTGGTAATCATCCCTCTAGTCAAACATAGATAAACATGCATAAACCTTTAACTAAACAAATAGGCCTACATTTTTTTTTTACAAAGCTGTTATCATCTCTGAACGAAAAAAAGCTCATGTGATTGACATTGTGTTAGGGGGTCACCAGGGCTGTTGATTTGGCTCTATTTGCCGGACATGACTGACATTGCTGCTCAAATGACCCTGAGGAGCAATGTCCTTTGCCAGACATCAAGACAGTATAAGTTAGCCATTACGTGCAATTCAATATCAGGTACAATACAATATTTTTCTGCCTTTTATTTTATTTATAGTTTACTTGATGCTTAGGTTTTAAAAAGAAATCACAATGTTAATAGTTCAAACTATTTTTTTTCAGTTCCCAGAAGAAAGAGCACCAAGCCGAATCAAAATTTAAACAGGCATTAAAAATTGACCCAAATTATTCTGACGCCATACTGTCCTTTATTAAATTATTGATGGAGACTAATAGAAATGATGAAGCAAAGAAATATCTTGAGACAGCCATGAAAACAGAACCTTTTTCACATAATGTACATAGTTATCATGGAGCATATCATCTGGCTTCAGGTTGGTCATTTATCTTTTTAAAATATGAGAAATAAAATGGAGTTATACTGCCTTCTTTTTAGTGCCTAAATCCAACTGTGGAGAGGTCTTCCGTGTTTCAATCTCACACTGGAATGATGAGGTGTGTTTTCCTTGTCAGTCCCTGCAACCAGTGGCATTTGTAGGAAACATTTGGTGAGGGGGCTGTGAAGGGGTCACAAAATTTACCAAGGGGGCCACAGGCAAAGTCTTTCACTATGTAAAATGTTAAAAAATTTGAAAGTGGGGGGGCCAAACCCGAGCCAGTCTGTTTTCTTTTCTCCTGACTCCCCTGTAGAAATGCCACTGCCTGCAACATGCAAACTGTCGAAAGTATCGCATGGTCACAATCTGTAGAAAACAATGTCAACCAACTTGCATAAGTGACCCTGGGAAAACAAGGAATGAAAAAACAGTGCTTGGTCATCGACTTTCCGTGAAGCTCGAAGTCTTGAAGTATTTGAAGGACATATTTTAGCTTTATTTGGCTATATTATCTGATGTGCACTGACATTGTCATATGCCTGCAACAGGAAAGCCCTGTTTAATGCGCCATTCAAGGTGGTTGAAATCCAAGACTCAACTCAACAATTAGTCAATTTACATTGTATTATTACATATTTTAGGAAAGTACAATCTGGCAGTGAAAAGTTTTTTAACAGCATATTCCTTGGACAATAGAGCTATCTCATCATTGATTAATGCTGCATCTACACTACGTTCTCAGGGTCATGTAGGAGAAGCAGAAGACTTGCTGAAAAGGTAACTAATATTGAATTCTTTTAAAAGGATCTTAAAGCTTTAGAGATTGAAAATAAAACTTTATATAAGTAAAGGAAAGACAGAAAAATGTGATCAGAAGCTACTTAAGTCTTTCTTAAAGAGGCAATTAGCCGAAATGTTAACATACAGGACAATAGTATATACTTTTTATTGTTTTCCCCTTCTATGGGAATTTGTGATATAATTTAATTAAAGTTAAAAGATTGTCGTAAAGGAAAGGAATAAATGGGTAGGGTTGACATGAAATTAGCCCAAAAGTGGAAAGTGAAAAAACAATGGAAATGAATGATCAAAGTTTAGAAAGTTCCTTCCCTCACAAGTCTATATTCTAAATACTGTAGCACCTATTCCTGAAACTGAAAGTAGAGGTCAACAGAGTTGGATGAGCTCTTGCCAAATATCATTTAGATATATTGTATTTAAATACTGCTAATCCAATTTTCAGGGCATGGTCCATGAACCCCACAGATGATTTAAAGAACCAACTAGGTTTATTATATTTTTATACTAATCATGTACCTGAATCATTGAATACATTTGAAACCATTCTGAGGAAAACCCCTAATAATATGGAGGCTGCTACTAATTATGTAAGTATCAATAGATTGATTGATTGACCGACTTGAAAAATCACCTATCATCTTAAAAATGCACCGAATAAATATGACCTCATGTGCTCGTAGTTGATGAAATTGAAAATGTTTTGTCTTCCAGGGTGGAGAGACCGAAAACTCAGGCCTTCCCAATGTCATGCTATTACAAACTCTGTTTAATACCTTGACATCATTAGGCACATTTAAGCAATATAGATGAAGTTTGCATTATAAGATTAGTTTGTAATACCTTGACATTGGGAAGGCGTATGCGCTACAGTCAGTGCGCAATCTCATGATCTTTGACAATGCTGATAAGGGTTGAAAGCTGACACCAGACTGACTCTCGATAGCACTAGATGTGGCATCAGAAATTCTCTTCAGAAATTATACAAACCCACTGCTTATATTTTCCCAGGATGTGATAATCTTATTTGCTACATACATGGTATGTCTGTTGTCTGGCAAAAATTTCACTCATTGCACACTGCTGAGATGTGTAATATTTTTTATCCAATTTTAATGAAATGAAATTCATGGATTTTAATTCCTACCTTTTTGCACCTAATGAGCTGATGAAGACTGGCTATGCTATGCAGTGGGTAATAAGGGAGATTTTGTCATGACGGCGGCATTTTTGATTTTCAACTGTCGAGGGATCTCTAATTGTACAGTCTGTAACCAATTTTAATGTTTTAATGAAGTGTAATTCAATCTATTGATCAAAAACTTGTATATTTCAGGCTAGAGTTCTCTTTGCTCAAGAAAGATTGGATGAAGCTGCTCAAGTGGTTGAAAATGTCTTGAGTCAAGGTTCTCAAAATATAGATGCTCTGCAACTCATAGGAAACATTTGTGCCAAAAAAGGAGACAAAAGAAAGGTATTGACTTATTTCATTAGGTCTCACTTAGTCCACTTCAGACTTTTTTTTCGTCAAATTTATTTACTTCAGTCTAAAAACATTATGTATAACTAATCAGATTACTGTTCATTCTGGATTGTATCCCTATACACTGAAGGCCTATATACAGCATATATAACTGTCCATAACTGTTTTGCACCAGCAAGCAACATCTATCTCCAAAGGGTTGGCTAGTCAGAGCCCTGATAGTAAAAGGAAGATAGACAAGAGAAAAATGTACCAGCTCATAACAGGACAGGGGGCAATCTGGAATGATCAGGTTGTTGTCTTGCGTAGCCTCTGTATTTCATTTTGGTCCAAATATGGTAAATAAGAGGTTAACCCTTAGATGTTGAAAAGAATAGGCTGTAAACTCATTTTTAAGAGAAATTAAAAAAGTCGAATTTTATTTTATAGGCAATAGAATATTTAGAAATTGCTCTACACCAAACTAGTCATCAGATACCAGATAAACAAGATTTATATCTTACATTATTATTTAATATTGGTACTTTACATCAACAATTAAACGAATATCAATCAGCATTACAAGTAAGTCTTTACATAATTCATATTAAATATATGTTTGTTAAACTTGGTACATGTATTTCTTATTTGTTGTTGTCATTCTCTAGGTACATTCTATAAATAAAGAGCCAAAGAGCTCAATGAAAGCACTCCAAGTGGAAAGGTAGCTGATGAGAGCGATGGAACTCAGAGAATGGGTGTCTTTCCCTGTTTACAGTAATATGATCCATGTAAATGGTCACATTTACTTCTTTGTCAGCCCCAAGTGTCATGTTCCCAAGAACTGAGCATTGTTGGATGGATATTTTGGGTTTGATGAGTGATATAAAGGGCATGGATTTTTTTCTATTATTAAGATTATAAAATTGTGGCCAGACTCTCAAAAGACATATTGAGTTAACATGCCTAGTTTGAAAGTAGCATAAGGCATTCGGTACTTCTGCATTGTAGATAAATTATAAAATCTATAAAAATATTTTTATTTATTTCAGTATTTTAATAAGATTCTTGATATTGAACCAAATTATCCTCAAGCTTATCTTCATATTGGTGGAATATTACATATTCAAGTAAGTATTTTATCAACTTCAAGGTTAATATCCTTCTAAAGATCTTTACTCATTTCAATTCTTTTAATATGTTTGTATTCAATTCAAAATTTACACATTGTATGACATATCTCAGGCTTATTATTCCCTATCTTCATCAGTCCTTTAAATATATTGAAAAAACATTTTATCATTACAGAATGATTTTAAAGAAGCCAGAAGATATTATAATAAAGTTTTAAAACTTGAACCACAAAATGAGTTTGCTCTTCAGAATTTAGTAAAACTTTCACGACTAGAGAGAAAGCAGCAACAGAAACAAAAACTTTGAAACTTGTTAACATCAAGATTGATGTTTTTTTTTTTTATTGTCAAACTCAAGACATTTTAGTGCAGACGTTCTGGTTCCCAGTTTCTCAAAATCTTGCAATCAACTTTTCTCAAAAGGTTTGTTTTGCGTGGGGTAAAATTCTACTCTCAGGACAAATTAGGAAAAGAATGTTTTTAAGACAAAAATCACATGAAATCTTAAACCTAAAGGTGCAAGCACACAGGCGTTCTCAGTGTAAGATTTTTGTCACCAACTTGTCAGTAGTTTCACCCTCTGGCACGTGTTCACGAGGAGACAAAAATTTCCAGTTGGTCGTTGACTTTTATTGGCCACGAAAATCTGTGACCAAGACTGCTTGTGTGCCCGCACCTTTAGATACAACTATAGTCAAATTAAAAGTGCTGGTCCAGTTGGAGAACCATGCTGTGTATATAATTAATTTAGATCTAGAGCAATTATTAAATATTGGCTAATGACTGAAAATATATTGGTATTCTGTTTGAGTAAATGGAATTGGTGTTGTTGTTGCAAGAGTGAATGTACCTTACTCTGTGTATATTAATCCGTCCTTTGCTGTTAATATTATATAATGTGCAGGGTTTAAAAAGGTGATAGCCTTTACCCCATTATGATTCATATTCATTTAAAACAAAATCAGAAACCTGCATCACTTTTGTAAAGAAAGCAAGATTGGTTTGATAGGAAGAGTATTTCATCTCATATAAGATGTGAACCACATTTCAAAGTGAGGAGTTCATATCACAAATACAAGACTATATTATGGAATAAGCACACTTCTCATAAAAGTAATTCAACATATTTTGTGTCTATTGGCTCTCGGGACCCTACCAACCTTCTACGTGTAGTAACAAATCTGTATTCGGATTGATAAAGGCCATTTATTTGATTGACGTAACAATCATGAATATATATATGTTTCAACGCAATTTACACATGTTGTCATCAGATGTGCCTTATTGTATAATATTGTTCTTTGTTTATATTCTTTCCTCTCATCTATTATATAATTTATTGGTTTTGTTATGTATATGGTTAAATATAAATATATTTTGATGTATAGATATGCACATATAATGTGTTAAGCAAGCTTGTACCACCATTTCATGTTTCGTTTTAAATGAAAAGAGTTATCTAGAATTCTCAGATATTTTATTCTATATTTTCTTATCGCTTTGAGTGTCAGGTGCTAAAATCTCTTCCAGTAATATTTTAAAAATTTTTAGTGCAATATTTTTCTTTTTATGTAAAAGTGTTTCACTGTTAAAATAGTACTCAATACATCAATTGAGGAGCGATATAGGTTCTGTTTTAACTTTTCTATCTATTGAAACTATAATAATTCAACACTCGGGTCCGGACATCTTTGCTTTTCTTTTAATAGAGAATTAAATGTAAAATATGTATTGTTATTGTTTATAAATTCTATTTGTTATTTTGATTATAAGATATTAGATATTGTTAGTTTTATAATAAAAGTATGAAGACATTTTTTAAGTGTAACTAAAGTATTTTATTCTACGAACTTTCGTCATCTTCGAGGCGACTTCCTCAGATGAAATGATTTGATTTGAAGATTTTCCAAATCATTTCACCTGATGAGGTCATCTTGACGATGATGAAAGCTTGTTGTATAAAATACTTTTAAAAGATGTCTTCTTACTTTGTTTATTATACAACAACATAAAGTGATACGGCATTACATTCAATTCTTATAGTAATAGTTTGTTATATTCTATATTCATAACATTATATTTTATAAATTGTCTTTTGTAAAAATACAATTTCTTGTTATACATACAAAATAAATTATAAATTTATTTGAGTGTTCCTTCCTGCATAGTTAGCCCTATAATGTGGAAGACCTGGATTCTATGTACCAAATATGATCCATTAACTATGTAAAGAGAGGCAATCCAGTTTTTTTTTACTGTCAGTATTGATTGAAATGTTCAATACATTATTGACAGATATTATCCCAAAATAAGAACCCATGTTACCAACCCCCATGTGGCTGATGTCATTGAGCTATGCTGCTTTTCTGGAATCCCTATATAGTCTCATGTGACAGCTAACCCTGCTATATGCAGTATTGAATGATATCAAAAAATCAACACTTTTATATAAAAAAAATTATATATTCTCTTCTGATAAAGATTAACAAAAATCTAATAAGTTAGCCTTGTATATAAAGTTCAAGCAAGGTTAGTATTGATATGCCTTCAATCAAAGACACCAAAAGATCTTTCCTGAATTCTTTAATCCTTCTATCTGTACATTTCTGACAGGATAATGTATAAATATGGAGACCTTGGAACAAGAATGACTGCTTCCTTGAAGTGAGTTGTAATTTCACATTTCTGCTACAATTATGTTACTAAAGAAGCTGAAAAGTATTTTATTTGTCATATTTATGTAGCCTACAATACCTTTATTAGAATATGAAATAATAAAGACCTTTCATCAATCCTTAATGGTACAAATTTTGGAGAATCACTAATTTTGCATCATCCACTCCATTATGAGACCATTATTAACTGCAGATTCACAGATATATGTCTTGTTATCTCTCGCCTCAAAATTTTGATTGCAAGGTTTTTATCATATTCAGTTTCGGCATGTTGTTGAATTTAACCCATCTATAGAGCATATAGGCAGTCAAAGTGTACCACACAAATATATACTGTAAATGTTCGTCCCTTAATTTGACAATAGTTTGCCCTCCTTTAGGCCCCCCTTTAACTGTACTGGATAACTCTGCATCAATAAATATAGGCTCTGTTTGTGCCAGTTGTGACATCAGTTTTATATCTCGTCCCATAAAGTATCCATATTTCAGTGGCTTATTCATACCTTTAAGAAATCTACTAACTTTATCACTTTTTCTGATGACGCCTGTTACTTCTACCTCATCTGTTACTTGACCTTCTAGACGATTGGCTGGAGGGATTTGTTGAGACGGAACAAAACCTCTGTTCACTAAAATCCTTCTTTTACTGTCCGTCAACTCAAAAGGCACAACAATATGACCACCTTGCTCTGGATAGGGTCCTCGTCTAACATTGGGACTGTAATCTTGTCTTGGTGATATAACCATTTCTTTACTGTGGTCAAATTTACCCCTTAGTTTCACTCGGAAATATTCCAAGTTCTCCATTTCTGAACTGTCTTCTGGTAGATCAATAGGGGGCAATGATAGCCTCCCTTCTAGTTTTTGTATCAACTCCTGCTTCCATTTATATCTTTTGATCTGCCATGTTCCAAGGCAGAATGTGGTGGCTGGAAAAGTTAGAAGCAAATAATTCGAAAGTCTTTTACCACCAGTACTGGAAAGGGGACGATTCCTCGGTGTCTGTTGAGAAACATATTTGAAACTTATTCGATTGTACAGATTTTTCAGCCGTAAAAGCGTTAATCTTCCGGGAACAAGCATTTTTAGTGTCACGGTCAAAAGAATGCTTATTTATTGAATTACATAAAAAAAAGTTTCAAGTTCCAATGAAAAGTTAGTAGTCAACGACAGTTATCTTCCCTTGTATCGTACAATTTTACACCAATGTTAAAGAAAGGTAACGAATAAATGGTTTATTATTTTAAGACTGAAGAATTTTACTTTGACTTTCGGTACGTTTATCATCAATGGATGCAACTCATTTTTAACAGAAATTAAACCATTAAATCAAAATGCTGTATTTTAGAATCATGGCGAAAATAAACTTAATATTTAACTGTGTTCACAAACCTTCAAGGGAATGAACTCTTTATTTTACCATTTTTTATTTTATTTTCTAAAGAGTTCCATTTTCAATATGGTGAACTCAATAAAAGAGAGAAAATTCCAATTGACACTTTCGACGTAAAGGTAACAATTTCTGATAAATATTGTGGGAGCTTCTTAGGGGACAACTCTAAAAGGTACATGGCGAATGAAATATGGCTTATGTCTTCTGTAATATTCGATCAGTTTTAGTCCTCTTCCTCAACAGCAATGACAATAGATTATGACATAGACCAGTCAAGAGTTATATTTGAATAAAGTCTCTCTCAATCACTGCTTCTGCTTTATTCCTCTTTCCTTTTCACTAGGCTATTGCAAGTGGATGCCGATTATGGGTATTTCAGAACTGTAGGTGAAAAAGTTAAAATTGGAAAGAGTTGCATACAAAAGTGAAGTAGAGCCTGTGAATACCTTATTTGCTTTGCTATTATTTAAGATAATAATAAAAAAAATGAGCACACTGAGTTAGAAAACTGGTAAACTGGTTTGTTCGCTTATTGCTAAACTAACAACAGGTTTTAGACTAATTCTCACGGTCAAAAAAATATTGACTGCAGGATTTAGGGAGACACCATCTATTTAGTGTTGACAACTAGGAACCCCAATGAAGTAATGTATGACATGAATTTTGACCAATAGATGCAAAGTTAACAATAGCTCCAACAGGTTCCTTTGGTGTAAAGCTTTAGATGGAATGGGGGACCAGTTTTAACTGTGTTCGGAGAGTTGTGGCTTCTATTAGTACACTAAGAGACTAAATCTGCATAAGCCTTGCAAATTGCAAAAGCGAGAAGAGAAGCATAAACAACCCCATTCTTGTCATTTCATTTGATATATTTTGTATTTCAGAAGTGCTCTATAAAGACTGAAAAGAGTGCTATTTAAAATAATATTAGTGTAATAGTGGAATGTTATAATGTCACAATTTTCATATACCAGTAATAACTTATCAGGACAGTAAGTATTGTCACTACTTTTTCTATCATATTGGTTTGAATCAGTTTTTATGAACTGTAAGATTTGATTTTATTTCTCATTCATGTCTTGAATGAAACAATGTTTTGCTCAGTGGGTTGAACTTTCAGCTGCACTATAAGAATATGTTAAAATATTTTTATTATTTCTAGATTGGGAAATGACCAGTTGTCCTGGAATAGTCAGTAAGTAAACTTTTTAGGGCTTTGGGTTTCTTAAGAAATTCAATTTTCAATATCATATAAAAAATTAGTGTATATTAAAAGTCAAAAGGGAACTGTATGATATAAACATTTTAAGTACTGTCAATAATTTAGTGTTCATGATTTTAAAAACACGATTTATTTGACTACAGATCAAGTATCTAATTTTGAATTTTAACTTTATATTTTGTACAATGGTAACTTGTCAAAAATAATGTATTGTGTTTGAGTTATCGGTTTCCATTTTTTTGCAACTTTTTAATAGCATGGATGCATATATATTCATGCAAGAAATTAATTGAATAATCATTGTTTTTCTCTCAGGTATAATATGCCTCGTATGAACAAAAATGAACCTACGCCTGCTGGGAAGAAAACAAATGTAGGAGGCGCTGGCAGTGGTATGCAGATACCATTGCCTCAAAGAACTCGTAAACTGGTAGGAGACAGTTCTTGTTACATTGTTTTATTTTACATTTTGAATGAGAATTGTCATGAAATACTTTGTTTTTGTGATACCTCAAGTAACTAATGAATTAGAATATAAAATTTTTCTTTTAGCCAGTGCCAGTCAACACCCTTCAACTTTTACTGGGCTCTCCCACATATATATTTTACCCATCAATATGTTAGTATTAAGAAGAGTTCATTTGCTAGATAAGGGAGGATTTTGTTGCCAGTCAAATCTTTTTCAGCCTTGATCACCAATGAAATACTTCCTTTGACATGTTATAAAAGATGTAAAATTTTTCAGGGCTTATTTGGTGAAGATAATGAAGACAGTGAAACCAGTTTATATTTTAATCAGGCTATGTTTCGACCAGATAGAGAGGTAAGACTGTTTTAGCAAGATGTCTTAGTGTACTTAGTGAAAGTTCCTCTAGCTCTCTGCATTATATAACTGTGTTTAACGACGGCAATTGTTGACCATAACTTTGTCCATATTGTCACATGGTCAAGTGATTCTAGTCATTCAAACATCATAGACTGCCCATGTTTGTATGAATAGCCAATAACAATAGAAACTTAACATGATATGGATTAAAAATGATAATAAAATGCATAGTCACAATATAGCATTAAATACACAGAAAGAGTCAGGATTATCCCTCAGGTGGCAATATTACAATCACATTACAAGCAAAAAGGTCAAAATATAGTACAGAAAGATTCATGCCATTAAATGGCTGGTAATAATTGGAAGTCAATATATTGAAGATGTATAAAGACCAACCTGTATGTCTATAAATAGTGAGAGTATTATCAATGGACTGCTGTTTTAAGTCATGATGCAAGTCCATAATCTAAAAATAGAAATTTATTTCCCTAGTGATAAGAAGGATATGAAAGTAAAATTAGAGTATGTTGTGTACCTCAATTTGAAGAAGTCGTCTAAGATTTGGTTTGATTGATATTATTTTGTATTTGTAGATGATGTCCTCTCAGTCCCCATCTAATCTTTCATCAGCAGGTTTTGGTGGTAGTTTCTATAGTCCACAAACAGGTATTTACTCTTACTGATATTAACTAAACCTTAGCTCATGAGTAGGCTTTTGTGTTTGCTTATAACTTTTGTGTTTGTGTATGGGGGGAAAAGCATTTGAGTTAAGAATGTTAAACTGCTATGCTGTATGTTTCAAACTGATGTTAAAATTAGACTAGATATAGTGGACTGTTAGAAATAGTCAGCATGTTTCAGATGAAAAGGGCATTATACACCAATGAAATAGGAGATAGGACGCTAACTCTAGACTTAACTCCAATATGGATGTTTCGTATGTATGCATGCACACATAAAGTTCAATAGGTCTGACAAATGATTCTGCTATGGAATCTGTGCATATCCTTTCATGACTTTAGAATCAGAAACCATCTTTTATAATGCCACTATTATACAATTTTGTTTGGACAATTTGTTTTTTTCAGCATTACCATTACCACAGAGAGCTATCGGAGGTGGGGGATTCCTCAGGAATTCTTCAGGTCACATGACCCCAACCAGTTTAAATGCTAATTTTCCTATTGGAATGCCTCAACAACAGCAGCAACATTCACCAAATAGGTAAGTTTTAATGGATTTGGTGGTAGAGTTGAAAGCGAACAATGGCTATGGCATCAGAATTGTTCTTAACTTTAGGAAGATTCATAGTAGATTTCAATCCAACTCACTGCCAACTGAGCTCTTTCTTTTGCTCTCCTCCATTCTTTTGCACATACATATCATGTGGATTTTTCATATAGTTTCCAAGAATTATTCTTAAATTTGCAAATAATCATTTGAAGTGAAGTGAAGTCACCGAGGTTATCAATCCAAATACTAAAATAACCTATTGGATATGTTAGTACCCAAAAAGCAGTTATGTCTATATATCATATATTTAATGTAAAGGAAATGTACTTGTTATATTTTCAGTGCTATATCTGCAATAGGTCCACGCAATGTGTTAGGTCAAAGTCAAAATAAACAACCACCGATCAACAATTCACGTTTACCAAATATTCCTTTACCCTCTAATTTCGGCAGGTAAGAATAATAATATATTTTTTTTAAAAACCTGAGTTTCATTAGAACAGAATGGAAACTAGAAAAGAAATCATTTTGTGACATAGATCATAAACCAGTCATTAAGATTGGTTATTGAAACTACTTGTGAACACTCCATTTCTTGCTGTTACAAATGATCCATGTTCTGTATATAGCTTTGATACCCTTATGTGAGAACCAGATCTTGTTTTCATAAGAGAACATAGACTGCATATTCTGGAAACGATCTTAGCAGTAGGATGACCTAGGGTCATACTTGAAGAATACTTGGCTAGGATATTGAGTGTGATATCAACATACAATTGAAGTAACTGTGTTTATAAACTATGAAATGATATTGCTATATGTTACAGTACTAGCAGTCAGGGTTTACAGAGTTTAACAAATAGTTTTGGTTTACAAGGAAGATCAGGTTGGTTTTTATACAAAGTATTTATATTCATGAGATTTTCTAAGTTTTCTAAGACTAAGTCAAAGATTGGAGAGAGATTAACATATAATTATACACACAAATTTACAGTAAATAAGCATTATGAACTAATAATCTGGAGCTCATTTTTTACCGTAGACATGTTTAGGATATTGAACTATCATCAGGACAAGTGGTTTATATATAAATTTAATTTCTACGGAGAAAGTCTATTATATATTGACATAGTGTTTAATAATAAGAAATCAAATATTAGTGCTGTGCTGTCGTGCAGGGGGCACTTGCTAAATTATAATGAGATATTGATTAGTGTATTGTTGATTTTCACAGAGACTGCTTACCTTTCTGATTTAACAGAGTTCCCATCATTAGGTAACAGAAATGCAATACCTGCTAATAGTATGCCAACACCCCGAAATTATGGTAATGTTATTGTTTCATACTAGTCTGTCAATTTCAGAAATAACGACATGATGGCACAGTGTTTAACAACCTTTATAAAAAAGAGATAACAAAAATATTTTGCATCACCCTGAACTTATAATCCAATTTAGAGTGCAGTAGCCATTAGGGCATATATGCATTCAAAATGACAATCTGAGGCCAGGCCAGAGTCAGGTTTTGAATTAGAATTTGTGTTCTTGTAAAGAGTTACAAGGCTTGTAATGAATCAGAAAGTTTCAGAACAAATGGCAATTGTTAAAATGGCTATCAGATACTGTAAGAGTCAGTATGTGAGACACTAGGCTTTGAGCTAGTACTGTTGCAAGACTATCAGAGCTAAGGTATGAGTTACCAATGATGAGATCACCTTGTATCAAATACCCATAAGGGTTGTTATATAATAGAGCTATTGTCTATGTATATCTATTATTGCCTTGCAGTAGGTATGGTAAGTAAACCTGTACAGGATTCTACACCAGAGTTTAATATTACACAAGAAGAATTTCCAGCTCTACCTGGCTCTCAAAGTAAGAATTACTCATAGATTTCTTGAATAATTATTGTGTGCTATATGTTTTGTATTGTCATTTATCAGTGTCAAATATTCATCATTCTTGTACTGTTTAGCTGCTTGCTTATTAACCAGAAGGTCTTGGATTCTTCATTTTTCTGTTTCTGTCACTAAAGTCTGTGACCTGGGCCAGTGCTTTCATTGAGACTCGTCTCAATACACCCTAACACTAAAATAACGGCAACCATTTTGTTTTTCAGCATCATCATCATCTACTGGTGATTTGTCAAATAAATCGGTGAGATCTTATTGTTATGTTTTATAATCAATCAAAATTTTTGAGTTATGTCTTGAGTTAAGTCCAAAAGAGTGCTGTTAATATTGTCCAATTGACTCTCATAAAAATTTTAAAATTGTTCTTGAAGTTATATCTTTATGGGCTCAAAAGAGTTCAAGATAGGATCTTAAATTAATCTTGTCTTAATATATAGACAGCTTTATGGAACAACAATCACTGGTTAAAGTTTTATGAAACGTTGCATAAAACTTTAACCAGTGATTGTTGTTCCATAAAGCTGTCTATATATCATACTCACAATTTTTAAATGCCATTCAAAGACTTAAGTTTCTTAATAGATTAACTTTTTAAAAATTTTCAGCAAATCCCGACTACAGGTTTATATGATCAACTCGGTGGTAAAGCAGAAACAAATAAATTTCTAGGTGAAAAGATGTTACCATCTCAGATTCCTAAACGTGGTATTCAAACACATCCTGATGGTATGTTCAGATTTATATAGCCATACTTAGAAGAAGTCCAAAATTTCAAGAAATACAGTTAATTTAATGAAAATTAGATATTGACCACTTAGAGAACTAGAACACTAAAATCCAAGTTAAAATTTTCGAGACTAAGGCCCTCAGTTCAAAGGCTTGGCAGCTTGTATGATCGAAGTTCTAAAAGGATGGACTACAATTTTGATCTTGAGGAAGTTTTCTATGTGATTGTACAATATTGTTTGCATTTTCATTAATTCTTGATGAAATTGTTTTTATACGCCCACATCTCTCTATGTGGACTTATATTGTCGGCACCCCTATTACATTTGCTTGCTTGTAGATTTTTTGATGGAATCAAATGAAATTCGGTATGTGTATACATATTCTTAAAACGAAGATCAAGTTCGAATGTGAGCTATTTTCGACTGTTAGAAGCAGAGTTATTGCCCTTGCCCGAAAATCTTGAATATTTACCCACCGCATGCCGTAGTGGGCGTATATGGCTGTGGTCCACTATCTTTATTGTTTGTTTTTCCCCACTAGGTACTATATCTAATATACCGCCTGGTATGGTAACAGATCAGTTTGGTATTGTTGGTTTATTATCGTTTATAAGAGCGGCCATGGATGGTACAATGGTACCAGCTATAATACCTGGTATAGATTTAACAACACTGGGTTTAAACCTTAACTCACCTGAGTATGTATAATATATAGCCTATTCTTTGAAGTTTTTACTATAAAGGGATTGTAATGAAGTTTTATAAACTTTTTATGTATGTGTATCAATTTACACTATTCCAATTTTCTGTCAGACATCATGTAAGCATTATTTAAGAGGAATTGCAATAACCACAGACACATGGTTGAATATTGGAATGGTGCTAATTATTGATATCAGTGTCCCCCATTATATTAAAAGTTATTTACTTAAAAGATTTACTTTTTTACTGTAATAATAATAATTCATTGATCGATATTTTTTACCTATTTATTATATGCATTTAAACCTTTCAATCCCTATTTCAGAAATTTATACAGCACTTTTCAGTCTCCGTGGGCAGAAGCACCTTGCAGACCTCAAGATATAGGTAAATCTTTATTTTATACTATATTATTATCATCCACATTCTTATGAACTTTTGTATTATAAACACAAGGCATAGGTCGAGATAATACCTTCAGATTTTTCAACCCGGTTTCCCCCTGTCAGTGATGCAGGTAAGAGGGGCTGACATGGAAAAAGCATCTAGTCGTTCGGATGGGACAATAAACCGAGGCCTCGTGTGCTACAAGCTGCGCACGTTAAAGATCCCTCGAAAAAGCTAATGCCGCTGTCCTGGCAAAATTTCCCTCATGGCACCCTGCATGGCGTTGCCCGTCTTCATTAGCCCACAAGGTGCAGAAGAGTAGGACGTAAAACTCCATTCATTTCATTTCATTTGAAAAGGTCCATATTTGTGCATGATTCTTCAAATATAACTGACCCATAAAATAATGTTGTTTGTGAGACCGCAAGCCTATTCTGAAAATTTATTGGTTAAGTGGTCATATCTTGCTTGCCAACTGCTAATCATACTAACACATAATCTTCAAAATGTTTTTCTTTGTGATCATAAGTGAGTTGTCTGTAAAATTACATAAGAAATTAGTGAATTTCTGTAAATAAATTGGAAGAGTACACCGTTAATTAAAGGGTCATGCTTTGTAAAGGAATATCAAAAATCAGATATATTTATCTTAATACTATTTTCAGATTTTCATGTTCCAGCAGAATATATAACTAATATCTATATTAGATTTAAGGTAAGTTAATATCAATATTTACAAGCATTAAGAAATTATAATATGGACACACATGGATTTAAAGGCTCATACTGATGGTGAGCTGTGAATACTATTACTGTGTTAATATTAGATATAATATATGTATTTTACAGCTTGCACCAATCAAATTTTTTCGTTATGGAGAAGATTTATTGTTTTTCTTATTCTATATGAGTGGTGGAGATGTTTTACAGTTGGCAGTCGCTGCAGAATTGTAAGTTTTTGTTACAATAGGCTAGATTAGAAACAATCTGAAACCTTAAGCTTATCATTCAAATAGGACTTGTTAGACAGATGGATTGCACTATCTTCACAATCTCAAGCTAGTACAAACTGAATAGTTTACCTTGACTGTATTTACAAACTTCTGTGATACAAGAAGGTGGCAGTCAAGGTATAAGTACAAAGTTTGTACTAGCTTGAGATTGTGAAGATGGTCTGTAATGAGGACATCTTGCTTTGAAATGGGGCCTAGATTAACTGTAATTTGACCTAACATGTATGTTTAAGTTTATATTATTCCAGATATAACCGAGACTGGAGATATCATAAAGAAGAAAGAACATGGATGACACGTGCCCCTGGTATGGAACCTATCGTAAAAACTAATTCTTACGAAAGGGGGACATATTATTTCTTCGATGCAGTGAAATGGAGGAAGGTGGCTCGAGAATTTCATTTAGAGTATGATAAACTTGAAGAAAGACCAACACTTCCATCATTTCTGAGCCAGAATATGAATAATCCCAATCAACCCAATGTAGCCCATTAGTTTCATTGTATGTATATTTAGGCGATGCTGGATTGCGGAGTTCTTCTTGTTTTGAATTAATGGAATCAACCAGACACATGTGCCAAAAAAAATAGTAGGTGCATACATAATTCAAAATGGCGGAGAAAGGAAAATTTTGAATATGACGTAATCTGGTTTCCGTCTGTTCAAATGAGACCAGAACTTACCGATTTAGCTTCACCAAGGTTACCTTGTGATAGTTACTGTTAATGTATGTTTTATTATCCACTGTCTAATTCCTATCAGTTTACCTGGATGTTTAGATTTAAGTATCGTACACACTGAAAAACATTTTCGGTAACATGTTGCTCAACATCTTGGCAATTGACAAAAATTTGGTCCTGTTTACACATGGCAACAGTTTGATAACATGTTAACAAATTAATATCAATATAGCATCTTAGCAACATGTTGCCCTTTATGTTAATTGTCAGTGTTTACAATACTTAATTCAAAGTGCAATTTATTTTTGTCTGTTGTCAAATTATTTCAAAATATGATCAATTGATTTTCTATCTGACTAGTTTCTATTTTGTTCAAAATTAAATATGAGTATTATGTTAAAAGCAGTGGTGCAGCCGCAGCCCGAAAGCAAGTTTTTCTAGAAAAGATCTCATAACTAGGAAAGAAATGCGGGCAATTTCAGATATTTCTCCACTGGTTAAAAGCAAAAGTAACAGTCTTGAACGCTGGGGACAAATTTTGAAAATCTCATTTGAAATTAAGATTAAAACAAGCTAAAAAGCTCTTGATATATATATCTCTTTACACATCTACAGAGATACAGTTGGCAATTTTTGTTTGGGATTTCAAACGCTTTTAGGGCTTGTTCACACAACAGAGCAGAGCACGGACGAGAAGAGAAGAGAGAAGGCAGTGCAATCAGGTGTTCACTTAGAAGTAGAATGGGCAGACTCTCCTCTTGCGGTGTGAACGAAGTAAATGTGTCTGTACATTAATTCTAACTAGAGACTGATTCTGCTACTATATTAACCGTTCTTCTCCATGACCCACTTAGCTTGTTGTGAAAACAAACCCTAACTTAAAGGATTGATTTGTCTACATTACCAATTGATGGATACTAATTTCAACACCAGTGACCCTTTTCAGATTTAAGATTATAGGGTATGTTTTAATTCAATTAAAACAAAATGATAAAGAAGCCTCTTAAAAGAAAAATTTAATCATTTCTGCAATTAAAGCGATAATTCCTGTATCGATTGCTCTTGAACCCACATTTTTATTTTTATTTTGAAAAGTGATAAAGGTATCTAAAACTGACACCTATTTACTGGTAATTGAATAAGACAACTGTATGTCCTGGTCACTTATTCTCGGAACGATCTTAGCGATAGGATATCCTAGAAAAAGTTTAAGAAGCCAAGATCATAGGACATTCTAGTGCCAAGATAGTTTCCAGAATACATGGCCTGGAAGGAATAAGGTCAATCTAAATAGATATAAATCTAGTACTATTCAGAAAGACATTTTATTATTTTGGTGCAAAAATTTGTTTCTGTTTGTTATTTTCGACTATCTACTTGCCAAGTGGTATTATTTTCATTGTAAATAAAACATCATCATGATTAATGAACAAACTTGGGGTTTTCATTTCATGGCATAAAGGGATTGTAAAGAGGTTTTATTATCTAAACAATTTAATTTGTATTGGTGTCAGTGGTTCCTGCAATAATAACTTGATTACATTTGACTGGTGTATTAGGGTACGAACACCCTGTCCTGGATACACATTTTTGAAAAAAAACGACCTTATTAAACAGAATATTTTTACTTTTTCAAAGTGAATACTGCCCTGTTTACACAGTATAAAAGCGACCCGATTAGACAGGGAATGTATTTTGCAAAGTGAATACTGCCCTTACTACATTGTAAACAATGGTCCAATTAAACAGGTCTTGTTGAACCAAAGAATAATGTCCTGATTACACAGGCAATATTGAACTCTGTAATCTGACCGGTTAGATTGGGATTTACCCTTCAGTTTTTCCTAATTGTGGGTCAGTCAACTCAAAATCATTTTGATAATCCAGACTGCTAAGAGAACAGGCTGGTACAGCTTTGCCAACCCCACTTACAATTTTTGTTATCGCTGTACATAGTGAAAGAAATGCTTGTGTGCCCCCTTGGCAATTTGGTGGCCCCCCCACCTTATAATTCCAGAAAATGCTGCTGCTAAGCATTTTACTTTCTACCCTGCTACAACAGCTGTCATGTTAGTATGTACAAATCATTCAACTTGAAAATATGCAGAAATTAAAATTGTTTAAATACTTTATTTACAAAAATATACATAGCATTGCATACTGTACATTATCTTTCATTCTGAACATAGACATCATTCACTATCTCTCATACAGTTTGACAGGGTCAAGGTTTCAACTGAGCCATGAAAACAAACAATCACTTAACTTAGTAATAATGCATCACCAAAATGTCAAGCTATTACTTCATAAAATACAGTTCGTAATAGGTTGACATTGTGTAGATTGTAGTAAAGCTGTTCATTTTTTTTTTAAGAATTTACTGCTTATTTTCAGGCTATGAATCAAAGGTTGGATAAATAACTGTGAAATCTCAATATTTACTAGAATAGTACTCGCGATAAAAAAAGATATAATTAAACACTTTAGCAGAATATTGATCAAAGAATATATTAAATAGTTTTCAATTTTCCAACTTTCAGATTGTTAAACAAAGGCACAGTTATAAATAATTTCTAAAAACAAAAGCTGAACACTGACAACAAAGAACAAAAAATGCCCCATACAAATCTTTACCTTCCCCTCAACAAAATCACGTAAACATTGCATTGAAATAAAAATTTCAAATTAATTAATGCAATCAAGTTACCAGGAATGCCATTTTTTTTGTAAATTTACTATTGCATTTTAATACAAGGACTGATAATCTCTGTTTTCTATTAGGCTTTCTGAATCTTGTTTGAACTATTTTACATTAGTCAGATTCAGGAACATTTTACCGAATTCAGAATCACATATTTGCCAACATTTAACATCAAACTTGTTGAAACAATTCATTAATAAATATTAAATTTAACATTAATATTAATTTCTATTTACAATTTACATATCCTTCATTCATTTCTCTCGTACTGATTTACATAATCAATAAAATTTAGACCAGTTTCTGTCACAATTTTCATCATAAATTATATCACATGAAATTAACACTTCATATGAGAGTCAAGTATAAAATTCAAATTTTCTTACACTTGAGAATTGAATATGCCCAAAACTTTGATTGTAGAATATCAACATAAATGCATTGTTGATTCCCAACTTATCTAAATCTAAAAGTCATTTAGGTTCATATATTATCTCTTTTTGATCCCTTTGAAAACTGATGAACTTCATACTCTGATTGTAATTAATTGCTGTCATTTCAAATTCTGATATGATTTGGATAAATACAAAAAACTTTGATTGATTTGATTTAATTTGATTTGGGTATGATGTTTCAACAATTCTTTTTCAGCATTATAAATACAGTTTGCTCAGAAAGCAATTCTTATACATCTGATTTGACCGATGACTGAAATAGTGTTTTGAAGATTAATACAGAATGGTTCTCGAGCATTTCATTATCAATGATGTTTGCCTACCTCAGTCTGTAGTTGTTTTAAGTTTGATTCAGACGAAACTATCATGGCTATTTTAAGCTGAATCTTCCTCAGATGCAAGATCTTTGATTTTTGGGTATCAAATTGTTTATGGAGCATTTCATTATCAATGATCAGTATGTAGTTTTAAAATTTGATTTTGATAAGATTATTAATTAGTCAGTAGGTAAATTTTAAAATCTGATTTAGATGATATATTAAGTTCTATTTTAGTCAGTATGTAGTTTTTAAAAATCTGATTTTGATATCATATTAAGTGCTATTTTAGTCAGTATGTTATTTTTTTAAAATTTGATTTGGACAAATAAATCAGAGTTATTTTAAGCCGAATCTTCCTCTGATGAGTAATCAGAGTCATCTTCAGTATCATTATCATCATCATGATCTCCATCTTCTTCATCTTCTGATATATCCCACTGTGGATGATCTTCAACTGGCTTAGCTTTCTTCACATCAATCTGAAGATACAAAATATAATAATACAGTCAAACCTGTACAAACAGTCACTTATATTCATAAAGATATATCAAAGTTCCCTCTGCATTGATGACTGTACACAGTTGGTTAGAGTAATGATAATCTGGGAAAGATCAATGGCAAGATGTTTGGGCAAGGACCAGCTGGTTTGTTGCTTTCAAACACTCATTGAACCACTGCGATTCCACCATTCAGTCTTAAAGAACACACAATAATGATAAATTTGACCTAAATATGATCAGATAACTTACCTTAAACTGGACAACTTTATCAAAATCAACAAAGTAAGAATCAGATCGAAGATGTACAGAATACTGAAATACACCTGGTGTAGCTGGGGCACAGAATTTCAACTGGAACTAGAAACAGAAATGGTTAATACTGCTGGGTTAACCAAGATGGCAATGTATTCATGCAAATTATTTTGTCAACAAAGGTATTTAAGTCCAAACATAGTTGCTGTAGAACAGTTGATAAGAGCGTTGAAACAATGCCATTTGCTTGGTAAATGTAAATAATGGTCATGGGTTCTCAGTAGGCACATGAAAAATTTAGTGACCTTGGTTTGGCCAAGGACCAGCTGGTAGAATGGCCTAGCGAGCCTATGTTGTTATCCCTATAGATGTGGTTCTTTGTTACATTCTTTCACAGCATGTTTCCAGTGGACTAATACTAATTCTTTTGAAATGACAGAAATTCAAACAAATCAAACTCTACCTCCTCCTCTGTTTTTAAACTACAAATCTGTACAGGTGCTGTGATTAATAAATGTTTTTTACGATCGGCCATATATAACCACCACCATTCTTGTTTATCCTGTAATAAAATGGAATCATATTGAAACTGATAGGGTTGTTCTAGATGAGGGGACCATTGATTCGTATCTAGGGTCTAGACTTGAAACAAATTCCATTTGAAACATTAACTCCCCTTATCTTTAATTTACTTTATCAATATATTTACTGAAGATAGGTCAAGGGACTTGCTGGATATAAATAAATCACAGTTACACATTATCTTATTGTCTTTATTCAGGCTGTCCTACTATCTCCTTAAGGAAGTTATTTTTACTTACAATAGGGAAATATGGACAGTGAACTGGGAAACTTTCTTTTCCTTTTGTTTCTAATGAATTTTCTTTTTTGGACTGTTGTTGGAATTTTGACCAATCTTCATCATCATCTTCATCTTTATGGGTTTCATTATCATTATTTTCTTCTGTTTCCGACTCTTTTTCTACTTCATCCTGATCATCATTCTCCTCATCATTGTCTTCATGATCTGCTGGTTTCTTGGGCTTTGGGGATTTCTACAACAAAATTTAAAATTGAGTATATCAGATGATATTTGGGGAATACAGGCTGTAATTTTGTACTAATGACAAAGATATGAAAGCACAGACAAGGGACTTGGGAATATTAGGAATTTTAGGTTGTAACATTGCGGTTAAGGAATGTTACGAAAGCACAGGCACAGGCACAGGCATGCAGGCTTATCCTCTAGTGAGAGTATTACTATTAGGGTGACACTTGATTGGTGAGTGATGAACAGGATTTGTCTGTTCCAATTCTGGGTGTCAGAACCAGATGTCACATTCAAATTTCTCCTTTGAACACTGTCTACACCTACATTATTTAACACTAAATTGTTTTATTGAACTTCCTGTTCATTCCATGAATCAGAATGAGCAGAACTCACCAATCAAGTACATCCATATTGTTAAGCTTTGGTCTTAAAGTGTACTGTATTGGATGTAGCATATGTTCCATATACAACTGAGCAATCCCACTAATAGTACAATAGATACAGGTTTCCAACTAGCATTATTTCAATGAATATATGAAATTGAATATATGAAATATAGTTTCTTTTCATTTCGAGCAAGAAACCTTACCTTTGTAGGTCCATTCTGGGGTCCATTGAGTGCTTCCTGTTCTTTCTTCAATGCTTCCGCCTCAGCAGCTCTAGCCTTAGCCTTTCTTTCTTTATATAGAGCTTTTCTACTTTCTGGGTTGGGTTTCTTTTTTCCTTTACCCCTTCTTTTATCCCAAACTGCTGTATTGTCGGCTGCTTCTGCATTCTGAAAAAACAAATTGACATTTTGAGGACATTCTTAAGCCCATAAGAGTTTATGTAGTTCATAAGTTCATCATAAAACTTTACTACAATAACTAGTATGTCAGGAGTCTCTTATATTTTGCAGCTCTGCAACTGGGTTTCTCATTCTCCGGAATTAGCTTTAAGATATTTCATTTGGTATTCTCATTACTCATGTTTATAACAAATAAAAACAACTAGACTTTATGACATGAACTAACACTTGGCTATACCATAAAAGCACTGTCAATGGCATCAGAATTATATTTGAATTTACATCCGTCCTGCAGACAACCATCCAAACCACTATAGACTATCCAACTACCACTTGTCAATCAAAAATCAAAATGGCTTACTTCTTTTTCTGGATTTTCTTCTGCAACTTCATTTTCCTCCTCTCCATCTTTTTGTTGATTATAATCTACAGGTTTACGTGAGCCGTCTGCTTTTATAAAATCTTCTAATGGTCTACGTTTCAATATGACTGTTACCGTGACAATAGATCCTGCTGTAACACTGTTATCTTCATCATCTAATACTGTTAATAAAATAATCAATGTGTTACTAAAATTTAAGGTTCCATTCTTGGATGATAATAATATCACCAAGTTGCGTCTATATCTGCCAAGTGTCTTCTGGAGTGTTTAAGAGCAATTTCAGATACAGGGGTGACACCATTAATTAAATTTCATGTGGGTGAATAAAGAAGTAAAAGAAAGAAACAACAGAAACAGAAACAGACTGCAGCTATGATTAAAGTAGTAAATCAAGATAATAAACATAGGCCATGTGCAAAGAGATAATATTTGTAACAAAGTAATTACACACCTTCAGTGTTGACTATCATTTCTACGTCAGGCATCTTAGCTAACACACTGATTACATCAAGATATTCATCATCACCTAAACTACGGAATAATGGTCGTCTTTCTTCTTCTTTTAATGTAGCTATATCTTTTAAACATCTCACTGGTTTCTACAATAATATAAATATACAGATAAATATAGCTAAATATAACTTACAGAGATCTGAAATTAAGCCAAGAGGTTCTGAAATTGAGCTCCCTCTAGTTTATAACTTATTTTATAGCTTTCATTGGCTGATAATGCAAATACTTATGACAATATCCTTTCAGAAACTTTAATACTTATTTCAAATTCGGAGTATCAAAATAATTATATCTACACCCCATACACAAATATTCTAGGGTCTGTTTTCTTCCTTTACTTAAGAATCAATTGTAATACTGTCATTATAGAAAATGATCAAATCAAAATCTTTAAAAATCAAACAGTTTATTTCTCTAGCCAGATTGGGCAACATTTTATACATAAAATATAAGATGCTTAAAGTTTGGACAGGGCACAATCTGGCAAAGTTAATGGGTATATGCTAATTTTTGTTGGTAAAGAGTCTTTACTTTAGCATAACTTAAAGCATATGACATCATCATTATGTGGCGTCTCTTGGTAACGACTAGTTCATCAACAGTATGTATCGTGTAATGGCGTCATAGACTAGTGTAAAATACGTTAAATACTGACCTTTCCTCTGTTTAGTTGACGTAACATATCATTTGTCATATGAGGCAGTTGTAAGAAGGGACTAGCTTTCTCCTCTAGAGCCTGTACTACCATTTGACTGATCTTCATTATATTCTCTATGGTGTCTAATCTAGGGGCTTGATGAACTACAAATAAATAAATCCAAGTTTAGAAATGAAAGAATGTGAGGTATTAAATCCTAACTTTCATACCTGATTTTACTGATAAATATCACAAAAATTTAATGAATCTACTTTTCGGACCTGTTTGGGCTAGAGAGAACAAAATTAAGCCAAACAAAGTCATACAGTGTGCAATGAAGTGTGCCAGAGAAATTTTGCTTCTACTTAGAGTAACTTTGCACGTCTCCTTAATGTTTCTAACTGTCTAGGGGTCTTTATGTAACATACCAACTATCTTATAGTACCATCAAATCAATTTGAATTTCAGATGAAACAAAACTCAACTTACTTCTACCAGCCATTGCCATTGAAACTTGATTAGCACAAATATTGACCATTTCATTGATAAGATATGTACTTTTCTTTAATATATATTGTAAATCTGAAATATATAAGAGGAAAATATGACTCAATCACGCTAAAGTGCCTGTTTCATTTTGAACTCACAAAACCTCTATATATGTTGGCCTAAAGTTCATCTTCATTTGCTACAATTTTTTCTATTGAACTAATGCAAATTTGTTTGGCATGTATCTCGCTTTCACACATTTATTCAATTTTCCAGCCAACCTGTGTCCTGATATACGATGATAAACTCCAAAGGGTAAAAATATTATATAATAAATAACCTTGATGCTCTTCAATGAAATACCTTAAGACTTATCCAAAAACTGTTTTTATTTTCATGGCAATAATCAATGTAGCTTTTGTTGCAAAAACTCACCCATTTCCTGTTCATTAGGAACTGTTTCAATCCTCTGAAAGTGAGCCATTAATAAAGCTCTAGCTTTAACACTGTATGGATAACATAATGGTCTTTCTTTATTCTTCTCTTGCATATGTGGTAATAACTTCATCAGCTGGAATAGAAATTAAATGTAAATAAAATAGCAACCTCTATTATGTGATTTTTCTTTTCAGCAAACAGCAGGGGAAGATTCCAAAAATTTAAGAGCAGCTCCAAAAAGTTGAATAAGTGCAAATTTTTTGGAGTTTTTAAAAATGAAGATTACATCATAAAATGCATGACCTACATTCATGCATATCAAGTATTGAACAGATAGAGGGACAGACAATATACATCCATAGAGAAAGTTATCAATGAATACAAATATAAGATACTTACAGATGGTATAACTTCATTATCACTAGGTCTCTCTATCACTTCACTATTGTGGAATTTATCATATTCAAATGATGCAGCTAGAATCATTACAGCTCCTAAAAATAAAGCAAATATGTTAAGTAAAATCACCCACATTCAAAACTACAAGTCCATACTAATTAAGTGTAGGAGATGATGCAAGCAGTATTACTCCATGGGTAATACAATGGCAAATTCATTAGTAAATATGCTAATGAACCACAGACTGTCAATGGATGTAAGCACAAGACATGTTATTTCTCACTGCCGAAACTGTTTGTGGACACTTGCTAGCCAGATGACACTAGCCAGATGACTCAGAGAAGCCTATCAATATTCTGAGTATTTTAAGATGTTTCTAACAAGTCCTATAGTAATATAAGACAGGATTAACATTCACTATACTAGACTTAAAAAATAAAAATAAAGCATATCAGTATTCTGAGTATGTTAAGATATTTCTAACAAGTCCTATAGTAATATAAGACAGGATTAACATCTACTTACGTCTGAGAATCATATTGGGTGTTTTATTAATAAAGTACCAATATAATCTAGAGGTATCTAATAATACTTCATCTCCACTGTATTTTATAGATCTATACCACCATATACCCTACAATAATAATACCTTATATAGTTCAGCTACAAACTTATATGCAATAGTGGTTTCGAGAGATAAACTCATTGTGAATTTGGACTTATATTCCAATGATCTTTTTATATTGTAAAGTCAATTTTTGTTTCTCCAATAAAGTCATTAGAGGGAGTTGGACTTGTAAATAATTTTGGTCAGTATGTTTCACCCAGTTCTGTTTTAATATTGTAAATTAAATTTTCTCCGTTAATCTCATTAGAGGAGTATTTTATTCGGTAAATTGACAGGTATTGCCATTTTAATTATGTTTTTGTTCATGATTTATGCATCATTTTGAATCATGTGACTTACCACTACAACAGGCAGTATAATCATAAAGACTAGACCATAAACACCTAATACCCATACAGAATTCTCTCTTTCTACTATCCATTTCGGTAGAGCTATACCAAATCTCATAGCTACAATATTCGAACAAAAATAAATAGATTAAGGATGTGATAATTTTAAGAAAGATGAAGCATTTACAACCCCCAATACCAAAATAAAACATTAGTTATGTGGATAATTTGACTTTTGTTAAGGTGAAATTTCTTCAAAACTAGCCACCCGACAATGGACCTGGCCTAACTCTCATAAAAGGTGATATTAAATGCCACTGTGCCCAAAAATACAGTGATGGGGTATGGGAACTGGGTAGAGCCAGACATGACAGACAATTGAATTTTAAGAAAAGAATAAACTTATATGAGAATATATTAAATGCTATTACCTCCAGGACCATCAGGGTTGCCATGTTTCTCCCAATTCTCTCTTGATTCTTCATCAGTCAATCTGTACAAAAATACAATAAATTTATTTAAGCATATTTTAAAGCCATAAAGGGTATTAAGAAAGACATCATCCATCGAGAAGTGGCGTTTTCAAGCATGTAGGAAATAACAACATGGTGTCCCATTGAGAATATTCCAGGAGCACCACAGTATCATTCTAGGGGTGGGCAGTTAGAATCCATTTATCAGGTTTGTTTACATGGTTCTATTTGTACTAGTCGATGAAATAGAAAGTAATTGATTTTATCATGAATTTACGCAGACAAAATAGATCATTGTGGGTATTTGAATAAAATAAGACTCGAGGATTTAAGAATTTAAAGGTAAATACTAATACTTCTTACGCAGCATAAGCTTTAGCAATTCTCATAAATTTTTTATGATCTCCAGTCTTTTCTTTATCAGGATGATAAACTAAACTCAGTTTTCTGTAGGCACGTTTTATTTCTGCTGTTGTTGCTCCCTAAAATAAATAATTATTTAAAATATCTTAACTAATCATATCAAAAAAATACTGTAATCAAAAGAGCTTCATAGAACCAAGAAATTAGGGTCTTTTGTTCTTTTTTCATAGTATAGTAAATTTTGATTTTTGATTTATGTCAGTAGAGTAGATCATCATTTGATTTTTCAATAAAGATTTCATATTCAAAATAAATTTTTTCTATGAAGATTTAATCTGTAACTTTTCAATGTGACTATGATATAAATATTTCAAAACTACCACTTTTAATGCATTGCAAACAAAATATACTTCAAATAATTAAATCTTATAACTTTTAATCTAAGTTTTTATCTGTTATCTAATTGATTCTAAAAAAGAATATAACAGGTAAAAATAACTTACACGATCCAACTCAAGCTCTTTAAAAGGGTCATATTCCACATAATCCAGTTGAACTTTAGATACTTTGTAAGCTAGGGCTATAAATACCACCCAACCTAATATTAATATCAACTTTCTGTAAACAATAATAATAATTGATATAAGTTACAAGGTTTCAGTCATTAGATCAGCTTTAATAATAATAGTGTTTAAGCAAGTGTTTACTATAACCTATGTGCATATAAAACTTTTACAAATTCATATCCCACTTCATGATGTGACACAAATTAAAACTTCAATATTTAATGGTTGAGTACAGCCTTAAGAAAAGTGAGCCTTGGATTACTGTTCAAATGTTTATCTTCTGTACCAGCTGATTTAAAGTGGCATGTGATGCACATGTACCTAAATTGTATTGATATTGGTCAGTATTTTGTATAAACAAACCTCAACCAAGCAATAATGAGGAAGTAGTTCAAGAGAGTAAGGAAATCAAGGTTGTGGCAATTGTAATAAATCACTTTTCTTTGCCCCAATATCTTATAGTATGTGTTCCCACTTCTACAATATTATCAGGTTAAACCCCAAATTCAAGTAGGCTAGCACATTGTCAAGAGCTTTCATAAAACATTCTAATAATTACAGATCTGAAATGTTAGTCTGCATTTGAATTGACACAGATATATATATAACATCTCTGAAGACATTTTTGTACATCGATTCTTATCCATGCACAGTGCTAGAATATCTTGGCATAGTTTACATAAGCTTTTTAAAGAAAAATTTCTACTAACACTATTTTCTGTTTAGCTTTTAACCATGGTTCATTGGCTTTTAATCGTTTTTGTTTCACGAGACATGGTAAACACATACAAGCTCTTTTTTTCTTTTCTTCATCATCTGCAATCAAAATAAACATAGTTTATGAAATAATACATAAGTTTGGTTCAAAGAAAAGTGAATATTATTGTACCACATATAGGAATCCAGACGTTTTGGACCGATATCAAAAGACAACTCTGACCAACTCAAAATTAAATGACAAGAGTTGTCTGTACATGGATTATAGGTCTGAGTTGTTTTAATATTTGTATTAAGAATGAGGAAGTTTATTGAAACTCCTATGTAAGGCACTGGTGTAGGTCACAAATATAGAGATCTGCTGAAAATATGGTGGAGTTTAGTTATTAGTTTTGAACATAAAAAACTAAACTGGTAATCTACAATAAATCTAATAAATAGATTTTTTTTTTTTGCCATCAGTTCTAAAAGATAAGGGGGTATGACTAAGTACACTTGTCTTTCATCCAAATTGTCTTGTATTTCATCAGACTTGATATCAACTGAATAATTGAAGATGTACTGATTCACATTAGTTTGACAAAGTAACCAATAGGATATTTGCATATTGAAAGTAATATTGATTGCATTATTGACTGCACAGTGAATAGTATGTGTGATCATGTGCCATGCATAAAACAACAGCTGTACTGTAGCATCAGCAATATAAAAAAAATGATACACAAGTATCGCATTCTACATCATAGAATTGGACTTTAGTCAGTAAAATAACATATGGAATAAATAGCACCATAGTGGCAGACAGGATATGAAAACAGGTACTTGGGGACAGAATAGCATTTGGTGAAGCCTTTAAGATTTTTGTATTAGAATTATAATACAAATAAGTCGACCGGCAAAATCTGACCACATGCTTCACTCAGACATGAGCAGAATGTTTACATTTCGCAGTTGTTATCTTTACAGAAGAATAACATGATAAAATAAAGGGTTCTACACGTACCTTGTGATTTATTTCTTGGCCAAAGATAATATGTGGTTGGAAATAAAATTAGTGACCAAAAAGAGAGGAGGAAATAGAAAAATGTTCCCCCCTCTTCATCATACTCGAATTCCATGCCAGCCATTTTGTTGAATTACGTGTTAAACGGAAGTTCCGGGAAGACGCACGCGAGATGATGACCTAAAGGAGAAACGAAAATAAGAATATCCGGGGGGCAAAATTGATTACGAATCATTTTTAATTAAGTTTGAAGAATTTTATAGGGGTACAATATATTTGATTTTAATCCGAAAAACATCTGAATAACAATAGCACAAATATTTCCTTTCGAGTTTCAGTGCGAAGTTACCTCCCCTGAAAGGCTGAGCTTGATTACTTTAAAAATAGAAATTCACTTGTGTTATCAGGGAGACCTAAAGGCTAATAAAAGGTTATTATATCGTACAAGAATTGTCCCTGATTGAAAGGTAATCTTTATGTGTGCGCTGAGATTTTGCATGACTATAGGCTTAAGGATGATTAAAATCACAATAAATGCTGGGTTAACTATAACTGGAGAGTGATATCCAATCTGACCATTCATACAAAATTATTGTAGGTCAAAGTTTTTAGGGAGATATTCTTTCAGTGATTTTTTTTGCATGATAAACAGGGTAAATTCTAGTTAAATAATTTGTGTTTTGTTGCTAAAGTTTCATTTTTTGGTGCATAATGATAAACCATTGTATTTAATTGGCTTTCAAAGGCTTTTCCGCTGTTAAATAGTAAAACTGACTTATTGTTTTTTACTAGTTATATAATATATTGTTTTGTTATGTAATGCTCCCTTTGTTTATAAACAAATACATGTGCTGAAAAATTTGTGGATCCCTCGATCACATCGGTATGATATGATATTTAATTACCTCGATTGCATTTGATAGATTGTTACCCTAAAAGACCTGAACTAATCAAGATACCCTTTGCCAATAAGCTGTGCACTGACAGTCTCATATTCATTGTTATTTTGGTCAAAATGCTGTGAATATGTTATCTGACCTGTCTGTTCCTCATTCTGTTCAATACTTTATTTCTTTAATGCTAAAGAATAATTCTCATTCAATTTTTACTTTTACAAAAGAATGACCAACATCAGATTTCTTATTTTTAATGAAAATGCTTACTTGTCTATTGTCCTTTGACTACAGGTTTTTGGTATTGCTTTAAATCACATTATATAAGATATATTCAAATTGATAGATCTCGTACAAATTTATACACTGTAAATTTTTACTTTATATTACAGTACAGAATACTATTCAATATGGCGAGAACTAAGAAAGCTTGGAAACGTAAATTAGAAGCTACTAAGGATTTGACTACAGTGACAAAAACTATACAGAAAAAAGAAAAAGCTACCTCACCAGAGAAAATTAAGAAGGACCAGATTGTAGAAGAGGTAATAAAGGAAAAATCATCTCAGAATAAACATTATCCTAAACTGGTGGATCCAGAGACTGATTTTGAGGTAGGCAACTTAAAATATCTTAATTTTGGGTAAGATGTTGAACTGGTCATCTAATTATTTTTTCGCCAACTGGTAGAGCTCAATTTCAGCTGTCTGTATCACATTTTTTTTCAGTTGTAAAAGCAAATGTCTTAAATTTAATCCAGTAGTAAAACTAGACTGTTTATCTTTCAAATCAATGCGTTGTTTTCTTCATTGACCTAATCTAAATAAGGTTTGTTTGAGTTTGATAACTTGATAACGTTACCTGTATGTGTTTCAAAACGTAGTATGTAATAAACCTAGAAGTAGTATATCCATATATCTTGTGTTCTTAATGAAATAAAGTTCTCTTTTTTTTTATTTCAGTCTCCAGATGAATTAGAGTTCACAGCTAAAATTCCCACAAGAAGTAAGAAAGGAGAATTAATATTTGAAGATTATCCAGAGCTCTGTCCTAATATGACACCTAAAGAAGTTTTACAAGCTGGTAGTTTTGGTGGAACCTATTTCCGTCCTATTAAATCATCTGTAACAGGTACAGTAAACTTGTTTTTCTCTGATCTTTCAAATTAGTTGAATAACATTTATTGGGTTGGTTTTAAGTCATACACTAGCGCTTCATTATTCTTGGATTACATTACAATGTTGATATCAAGTAAGAGCTCCAAGCATAGTGACATTGCAATCTCTCCCAACAGTAGCCCTTGTTGCTGATTTCTTTTTCTGTCTCTGATTGCTCAATTTAATTAACGCTATTTGGTAAATATATTTCTATAAAACTGAAAGGTTAATGTTCAGAAGTAAGCTGCTCTGTTTAAATGATAAAATATGGTGTATTTTTCAAGGTAAAGGTTATACTGGTGTATGGAAAGAATTACCTAAAGATTGGTTGGAAGGATTGAATATATCTAAACAGATATCATCCACTACCTACCATGAAGATGTCAATAAATATGGGGTCAAATGTGGAGGAAGTTTAGAAATGTGGGAAACTTCAGGTTGGATTCATAAACAAGATCCATATGGCTGGTTTCAATGGTTTTGTAGGTAGGTCATATTTCCACAATGTTATTATATAATTGTGAATATAATGTTCACCCCAGTAAATATGGAATTTTCTCAAGTGCCTTAATTTTTTGGGGTTAAAAATCTGTGCACTATACATACAAATATATGATGATAATAGAGTTACTATATGTCAATCAATATATGCATGTAACCTCATCACTTAGTAACTAAGTTTGCAACCTTTTTTTAGTGTCCACATATCTTAAATAGATTATTGATATTTCACAGGTTTTATCAGGGAAGACGAACAGCAGATGATGAGAGACAAATTGGACGTTGGTTAAGATGTGCAGGGAAAACAGGACGATGGAAAAATAACCTGATATCAAAGTGTGTCAACAGTGGATGTGGTTATGATAATTTTGGTGTATCACCTGTTGTAAGACAGACATTACAACACTGGGGTTATACTCTTACTAAAGAGGACTTTGAGGCCAATGCTAAAAGATTGAAAAAGAAATCTTGATCATGAATGCAGAAGATCTATGTAGGCCCTCTGGGGTCTAAAAATCCCTTAGAAGTTAATCAGTTGTGGGAACTCATAGCACATTGCTAAAAAATTGCAAAAGTATCTTGATAAAGAATGATGAATGATCCAGTCTGAACACATACATTGTTGGAACTCTTATTTTGCTCAATGCACACTGCCGGGTGTTGACTGTCTTTAATGCATAATATGGTGCAGGTCAAATTAAATCTTCAATAATTATCAAGTATTGTATTGCATAATGCTAACACTGCCTCTTATTTGTTGATAATCTCATTTTATTCATTGGTATATCAATACTTATTTTATTTCATTTACATTAACAATTTTTTGTGCATAATTATAAAAATGGCTTTTTTTTTCATATTAAAATGTAGATGAAGAGTTATATTACATTATTCTTTAACTAAAGGAATCTACCTCAGGGCTGTTGCCTTGGCAATTTCTCAGCTGCTCAGCTGATGCATTTTACTGTTAACATAAATTGTGGTATGTCGTTTATGTTTTACAGCTTATATGAACAAAAAAGTCTAATGAGCAGCTGTAAAGTTCAGTAGTAGCAAATACAGCCGTGGTCTATTTTCTATAATATGAACAAGGTTCTCTTGAAAAATAAATTTTCAAAATAGGTTCTCCAGTCACCGCTCAACATTAAAGGCAAAAATTGTTCTACAAAATAATTCAAACTGGATTCAGAATATTTATAAGCTACAGTTCAAAGATAACTTTAGTTGGAAAATGATTATTTGATATGATAATATATAACAAATGATAACAAATTCAAGCACTAATTGTTGATATTTATGATACAAACAAATACACAAATATAAAAATATTTTACACATAAAAAATGAAGTGAATAATACGGGAAGAGATGTAAAAATTATTTATGGACTGTCACATGACATTGATGAAGTTAACATCTATCTTGAATTCTGTTCCAAAACTGTATTACTGAATTACAGACCATGTATTCTCGAAATGATCTAAATGCTAGAATATCCTAGAACCTGTGATAGAATTCAAGAACCTAGGATATCCTAGCACGACGATCACGACTGGGATAGGAAAAACTTATCAAAGTGTAAACAGTGCTGACTTTTACATCTTCATCTGGATTGACTACTTGAAAGCATTAATTACAATAAATACATAATAAATATATAAAACCATGCATAATAAATATGTTCTCTGCCTCTTATTTGACAGATATTCAAATTTCAATTGTAAAGAAATTAACTAAAACTTATTTCTTGCTAGCTCACGGTTCTACCTTTGATAATATCTTCTTTGAGATGCTTTTGGCACACTCTCTATTATGAGACCTGTTATCAGGACTTAAATTGTTGACTTAAATTGAGAGAAAAGTATACTTCCCATATTTTTATGTAGGAACATTAAAAGAAGTCCGAAACAATTATTTCTTCATCTAGTATCTGATAGTAATAGTTCAGACCTGTTGTGAATTAAACATGACATAAACTATTTAAATCAATTGTTGACTTAAATTAAGAGGAAAGTTCTCCCCATATAGGAACATTGTCCTTTTTTTTTTATCTAGTACCTGTTGTCAACAAACTATACTGAAAAGGCAAAAAAAACCTCATTTATATGTTGATTTTCAATTCATAAATATGTGTTAGCAAAGACATCTGGACTAAAAGGCAACAAAAATAGGCAGTAGAGTTTTTCTTAATACAGAATATGTAACTGCCCGTATCTTTTAAGGTTTATAATTACTTTTAGAATCAACGCTTCTTTTGTCTTTCAGTATAGTATCGAATCAGCAAACAGATACAAAGTCATAAAGTTACATAAAACAAAATAGCATCACAGATATTTACTTTTTCTTTTTCAAAGCCTCAAATCTCCTTGTTAAATCATCAAAATTAACATCATCGCCCCCAGCTGATGTGCCACCCACTGAGTTGCCTACATCAGGGAGGGTGTTATTAGGGACTGTGGGTAATTCAGGGAAACTGTCCATTTTAAATCCTGGTGGGGGTGCTGAATTATCATACACTTGATTATTTGGTGGCATACCATTTGGTTGTTTGAACTGGTTATAATCTGGGGGTGGGGCCTCGTCTTGGTATAGCGTATGGTAAACATTTTCTGAATTTGCTGGAGGAACATTAGGTAAAGGTGGTGGTGCACGGTTTGAATTTTGCTGGAAAATAAAGGAAAAATTCATTAATGAATAAAATTAAAGCTTGGAAAATGGTAATGTTCCTTCAATATTTTGTGTGAGCACAAAGCAGTTTTCAGCTGACATTGATCAAAAGGAAGAATTTCAATAACGGACATGTCTCATGAACGAAAGCTTACATTTGCTTTAAAGCAGGTGGAAAGGAAAAGGGTAAAGTGATGCTAGGATTTTTTTCCGACTCACACATTGAATAAGGAGTATAACTGTAATCAGAGCAGCGCTTAACAAAATGGCAACAATAAATTTTAATATTAAAATATTAGCAATGCTCTCAGAATGGTTCATCAGAGTAATTTGAAAGATACAAATTTTTAACGGCCTAAATCTTTACATAAAATATTGATGAAACTAAACATTCATTGAGCACTGGACCATTTATTTACTCAAAAAAGAGTAACACAAAAGTTTACTTCATATGTACCTGAGGGTAAGGTGGCATTGGTGCTGAAGCTCCAGCTGGTCCACAAGGTCCCGCACTACAGGCTGAATTATCAGCTCCTGGCTGCATGACTCCCATTCCACCACTTGGTCCTCCTCCACTGTTATTCCCCTTCTTACCATCACCAAAATCAATCAACATATTCTCGGCAGCAAATATTTCATCCTGGGCCATAACTGATGCATCTGGTTCAAAAGGCACATTGTAAGTCTTGGCTATTTCAACCATATATCTTTCAATCAAAGTCTTGGGAGGAGCTTGGACACTCATTTTATGCATAACTTTCTCACTGACATTGTTCAAAGCATTTGTTCGACACGCTTGTCCAAATTCCTTTCCATATTTGGCTGTGAACTCGTCAGCAATAGGTTTAAATTCTTGAACATCAGCTTGAAGTCTTGGTGTTGCCCAAATTAAACTGGCTATAGCTTCTTCCAGTCCAGGATCTATCTCCCTGTAACAAAGAATGATAAACATAAGTACCGTACAGAGTATCATCAAAGAAATTATCATTGAAAAAAAAAACATCATTACTGGTTATATCTGCTCTGGAAGTTGATATGCACAATGGTACTTCAAAATAAATTTCGAAAACAAAGGCTTGATGAATCTTGCCTCATCATAGACCCAGATTTCCAATATTTGACAGCTGTGACAACAATTATAACTATAAGAGAATGGGTTAACTAAGAGCCTGTTGACATTGTAAGCTTGGAAGTTTCCCTTGACCATCTCAAAGTGTTTCATTTTTCTATGATGAGTTAAAGATAGCTAACGCGCCTTAATTCTGAATAAAATAGATATTTGTGTACCATACTTTGAATTTCAAGTGAAATTAAAACATACTTTTGTGTTTGAATTAAACCAAATCTTGCCAGTAACAGATCACAGTACATCTCTAATAACTCCATGGCTTCAACCAGATAATCCTCTCTGACAATATGTTCAACTCTAATCCTGGCCCTGTCATCTTTCCCTCCTGAAATATAATCAGCAATCTCTTTTCTAGCTTTCAGAGCCAATTCTGTCTTCTTTTTCTCCAACAATTTCAACCTGTTGATGGTCAGTCGAAGATTTGTCTTCAATTTGTTGTAATTACAGCCACTCTTGAACATTTTGAAACTGTTAATCGCAGATAGAAACTGAAACTGTTCGAAATTTACCAATTATTTTCGTGTCTGACTCAAAATCACTTGTTTATGTTGCGTTCTTCGTCATAAGACTCTGAGGATGAGTTCCGTGACGTCATAGATTATTGTGCAATATTAAATACAAATTTTGTAGTCTTGGATTGTCAAGACCGTAGAAATAAAAAAAAAATTCAATTGACTTTTTACGTCTGGAAAGCATGTCTATTAGCAAGCCCGAACCAGAAAAAAGTTCAAATTGATTGATTGAAAAAATACAATATTAATTTTTATGCCTACTTTGCTAATCCAATAACACTTCGACAAAATGACGTTTGTTTTAAACCAACAAATGTAAAATACGCGATTTAAGAAAAAAACATATTTTCCAGCCAATCAAATTATCAACTTAAATTCTGCGGTCTTAAACCCACGTGGGTACTTAAAATGTAAACAACACGTGCGTTTTAAAACTTGATCACAAACTCGATCGTGGACGAGGTTTGTTGATCAGAATGGAAAGGAAACATTCCCGATGGAACATATCCAAAGCACTCGAAGCTTTGTGTCAGTCTAGTCCAAAATGTGCTGACAAACTGAGTAACGTTAAAAAAAATAAGGTGATTTCGAAATAAAACTTCATAAGTCTCGACCTTATCAATGCAATAAATAATATCCCACTGACAATGTGCTTGTGATCTCAGATAGGTGTATCATTTATTCCCTGTAATGTATCATTCATCAATGTATGCTGTAGCTAATATATATCGAAGCTGTCAATTTGGAGAGATATGCTATGACATTATCTACATGATAAATAATTATGATAAGTGCTAAATAAAATCTGTCAGTGTCATTCATTGTAGACATAGTAGGCCTATTCTGAATTAGGCTTGAGAATGGTTGCAAATAACAAAATTTCCCTTTAACATTCTGTTCCACCATTCTTAACATGGATAAATGATGTACTGATGAATGGCATAATGGCTGTCTCATGCCCTTAACTAAATAATTGTAATCTTTTTTATTTGTTCCAGAAATGGAAACCAAATGAACGTCAACAACTTCTGTTCAGTGTTAGTGAACTGTTTCTACAACCAGAATGTACAGCATCTATATGTTGTTATTTACAACCCCTGATATTGGATATAGTGGAGAGAATAAGAGCATCATTAACTGCAGCTGATAAACCCAGTAGGTCTGAACTACTGAAATTTACACTGGCTTTAAGTGTAACAGCTCAGATTTGTCCTGATGTTAAAGGGTAAGTGAAACTGTGCCTTTAGTTAAAAGTATAACAGTTTAGGTTCACAAGGATCTTTTCTACCCACTTGTCCCTGGCTAAACCTCTTGGCATTGATCTTTCCCAGATTATCCAAACCCTTTTACAGTAGTGAAGTGACTGAAAAATATTTTCTATATCAATGAATTATTGCAAGAAGACTACTCTATTAAGCACAATCATCGATCATTCTCTGCATATCAGCTAAAGTCTATGTAAGATTTTTTGATTTTATTTGGGCCAGTTAAGGTTTACAAACGACCAGTGTAATGCCTCTAACAACATTTTGTAATAATTTATTTGTAGGTTCACCTTGAATTTTATTAAGGAACATAAACCACTTACAAGCCCCAAGGATGACCTGTCTTCATCAGAACCAAAGAAAAAGAAATCAAAGCTTGAAAAGGTTTGTATATTGCTTATTACATTTTCTGTCTGTATTAACAAACACTAGACCTACGTAGCCTATGAACAATGTTGAATAATTATAATTGATTTATTCACAGAAGTGTTAGTTGATGTAATTATTTATATTCCATAAGGTTTTTAAGATTTTATAAGGTTAACAATTTAGGTCCACAAGATCCTGTCTACCAGCTGGTCCCTGGCCAAACTTCTTGGCATTGATCTTTCTCAGATTTTCCTTACCCATTTTCTAGCTGGGTAAACTGGAATTTCTTCAATGTGTTTCTAAGTTATAGGTAGTTCTCTTGTTTTTTGATGATTCTATTCTTATACTTGTAACATATTTAATATATTTGTTCTCTACTATAGATCAGTGAGTTATCACTCTGTCGAGGTATATGGTGTTTATTACGAGTATTTAAACAAGATATTAAAGACTATATTGATACAAGTCATGTGATGCATAATTTATCTAGTTCTAACAAAGATATCAGATGGTAAGATATATTCCATAATTCTAAGTACTGAAAATATAACTATCTTTTCTCTTTCAATCATCTCGAATGATTTTTAATTAAAAACTTAAGTTAAATCCAGTAAAGTGAATTTTCAATCAGGTATTTAATTTAGTAACTATCCTAATGAAACTGTTTGAAATTGTCACGAATTTACTGACAAAAATTGTTAAAGCCTCTTTCTTTATTCAAAAGCTTTTAAATCATTTGAAATGCATAACTGCCTCATACTTGTATTTCATAATGACGTCCTGGATCCTATTTCAGTTTTGCCGTATGATAAAGAATCAAATTTTGATTTCCTTTAATTTCAGGTTCTCAACCCTCATTGTGTGTGAATTGTTAACTATGTCAAGTTATGAAAAAGAATTATTTCTAAGAAAATATTTTACTGTTGAAGAAGAACATGAATTGATAATAAGGTTAGTTATTTTTCTGATTTCAGCAGGAATATGTTTACCTATTGAATAATAGGAATGGTATCAGTTGAGAAGAATTTAGTTTTGCAAAAAGGCTCACAGAGAGCAGCCATTGGTCTTAAAAGTCTTACAATGCCATTATATTTTATGGGAATTAAACATGTTGAAGCAGCATCAATATATTAATTTATGACTTTTTTTCAGAGATTTTACAGAAGAGCAAGAATTTAGATCTAGATATCAGAAGATAGGTGATTTAATTGAAATAGATTCAGTTGTGAAAAATGAAATGAGTCGTACCTACCAACAAATACTAGGAACTGATTTAAGTTGTAATGTAACAGAAGTTTGTGGTGTTTTATTGTCAAAATTATCTTCAGATAATCAGGTCAGTGTAAGACATTACTCACTTTTCAAAGGGGACACCAGCTTCATAATAACAGGAATAATCGACCAAGTCCAATCTCCCAATGACCAAAGATTTATTATTGTCAACTGAATTTTGGTTTTTGCATAAATGTCAATAGTAGAAGTAATCTTAGAACTCCATTTGGTTATTACTCAGAAAAAACATTTTGATTTTCAAAGTTTTGCCGCCAGAAAATAAGATTATGAATCTTTTAACACATTCTTAATGATAATATCTTTCAAATTTCCATCCGATATTTGTCATTTCTGACTGTATATTTCCTTGAATATTTAGTTTAATAGACAAATCATTTCCTGTTGATTGACTTTCTTATTGATATTATTTCCAATTTCAGCCCACATTTGACTCTGGATTAGTTGGTGTACCGTCTATGTTGAAAATCTACGTAGTTTAGCGTTGGCTGTAGCATCAGGTAACCCAGTTCTACTACAAGGAGCAGTTGGTAGTGGTAAAACATCAATAGTAGAACATCTAGCACATCTTACAGGCCGACACGCCTCACCTCAAATAATGAAAATACAACTAGGTGATCAAACTGACAGTAAGGTAGGGGTTCTAGTTCAATTGTGTAATTTAGATTCTTCATATCTAGAGATATTTTGATATAATCTTTGGTTATATCCAGCTGACAGTGTTGGTAAAAAGGGGTGATGGAAAATGTGTCAGGTGTGCCGATCTAAAGAAAAACCAAAGCTCTATGGCTTAAACATAGAGATTCATCTCAAATTGGACAAATATCTGGTATTATGATATTCGGTATCATTCAAAGTGGCAAAATTAGTAAGGCTGATACTAACCATTTTGAATTATCTAAATATTCTTTTGAGTCGTCTTTTGTACATTTGATAAAAAGCCAAAAGAACGAAAACAGATAAAGAGACATAAAAAAAACTTTCTTTGATTATCAAATTTAAACATGTTAAATATTTTGCATGGTTTGTATGTTACAGGCTTTATTAGGTATATATAGATGTACAGAAATACCAGGAGAGTTTGTATGGCAGCCAGGCATATTGACACAAGCTGTATTAGAAGGTTACTGGGTGTTATTAGAAGATATTGACTATGCTCCAATGGATGTTGTCTCTGTCTTGCTACCATTACTAGAGAATCACACCCTTTCTGTCCCTGGACATGGTGATAATATTCAGGCTTCACCTAATTTTAGATTGTTTGCATCTCAAAGGTGAGTACAGCCAATAGCATGTTAGATTGTCGTCTGCAAGGTGATTGGTGCTTTGGTTGGAATTCTACTCAAAGTGATATTCTGATGAAACTGCCATTTCTTCTAAAAGTCAACCTGGTGTTGGCTGTCAATCCCTATCACCAAAACCTACTACAGTAGGATCTGAACAAAACGTTTTGATTTGATTGACCGTAGGGCTAGGCGCAATAAAGACAACACAATTGAAAGACAAAACCCTAATCTAGCCAATTAGTAGAGAAACAGGAAGCAATCAGAATGATGTATTGGTGTATATTTCCCCATGACAGGCACGAGCGATTTAGGACATCTAATAATTTCTTGTTCACAAGATATTATATATTGTCTTGCCCTATAGTACTCCTGTTTTATTTTCAGATTAATCAGTAGTACTAGTGGATGGCAGAAACAACAAGCAGGTAGCTCTGTATTATTAGAGAAAATGTGGACTAAGATACATATAGAACCTTTATCACGGTCAGAACTGGCTCAGGTATGTTCCTTGTAATAGTTTCATGCGCTTTTTGCCTATGAGCGCGAGTATCCTTATCTTTTGTTAACTCTAGCAAACATGAGGTGATCTATAACAGTAATAACCATTCTTTATGTCAAATTGAATGCTTTCAGTCACAAAATAGTACTGAATAAATCAGTTGTAGAGCAATATAGAAACATTGAAACTGAAATGGATTTATTTAAAGTTAAATGCTTTGAAATACAGCTTAACAATGTGAAACTCTGAATAAAAATACACTGCAGATCCTATTTTAGAACTAATAGTATTATTATTTGTATTTATTTGTAGGTTATATTGAGTAAATATCCAGTATTAGAGTCTATTGTTAATAGAATATTAGATGTATATTTTCTACTATCAGCTGGTAAACATGATGTAGATATAGCTACAGATAGTCTTGAGATAGATACCAGTGGTAAATTTCTTACATTAGATGGTAGATTAATATCTACAAGGTAGGTGTCTAATCCTTCAATGGTATATTAGAAGCATAAGTTATAAATAGACAAAACAAGTTTATAGATAGATACTTCTAGGATATTTATTACTTTCAAAACTTCAATGTGGTTCTCACACCATCATCAGATATATAATGCATGCATCTTTATCCTGGGGACGTTGTTTGAGATAGGAATCATCATGGTGGTGTTTTTTTAGTTAGAATCTTATTAGTTAGCATAGTAAAAAGTTTTGTTTATCTTTTTGGACTGTTTATAGAATCTGTGAGATCAGGGTTAATATATTCTAGGAACTTTCATTGGTTGATATCTACGCTTTAATTATTTCAACCAATCAGAATTCTTTAGATTAATCTCTAGACAAGCATTTATAAATATACAGTATTATATTTATATAGCACAGAATGCAATATTATGGTATACTACTCCTGGGTTTTACAGACCTATACCCTTGAGTAGGCTTAGGATTAGTATTCTAGTTGGAATTTTATTAATTTGAATATTTACAGAGATTTAATGTCCTGGTGTAGTAGAATTAGTAAAGATTTTGACGTCAAGTCTACCAATATAGCTAGTCGTGTTTACCAGGAAGCTTGTGATTGTTTTGTTAGTTGTCTATCTAAACCTGATAAACGTCTAGCTGTAGCTGAGGCCATTGGTGCCAAACTCAATATCACCAAGGATCAGGTAAGCTGCTCTGTTTATTCTTGATAGATTTGTAACTGTTGTGATAATGGTATTCACAGGCCTTCCAATTTAACCATTGAAATATCTTATCTAGTAATATGTATGATTATTGTAGGCTGAGTATTATTGTAATAGATATAAACCAGAGATTAATATAACATCAGAGAATATAACAGTTGGACGAGTTACCTTACCTAAACATCACTCTTCACATACGTTGTTAACAAGGTTAGTTTATTTCTTTAATCATCTCTTCTTTCCTCAACATAAGTAAAAGGTATACTACCTCTTAGACTGAACCTAAAATTTGCATTCCAAACTTGGCCATTAAAACATCAATGAACTAAGCTGGTGTCATTACTATATGTTCCTTCTATAGAATCCTTCTATTATCAAATTAATCCATAAAACTAAGTAATTGTTGATAAACGCTTAAAAACTTCTTTTTCATTTTTCATAAATCACATAAAGTTTCATACTTTTATCAGAATATTGAACGGTGACCTGTGAAGTCTGCTAGTTTATAATATTTATTTAACTTTATAGATCTTATTCTACATTCTCGTTTACCCGACAATGTGTGTCTCTACTGGAGAAAGTTGGTGTATGTATTGTAAGAAATGAACCAGTGTTGTTAGTTGGTGAAACTGGTACTGGTAAAACATCATCTGTACAATTTCTTTCTCGACAGCTAGGTAGGCTACGTCATTTATCTAATTTCTTTATCTTTAAGTATCTGGAATCTGCACTGAATTGGACATTATTCTCTGTTTGGTCATGTCCCAACTGACATCTTAATAATGTTCCATCGAATTTGCATAGGTTAGTCTTGAAGAGTTTTTACATAATTATCTAATGAATATAAATGATAAGACTGGTCAGTCCTGAAGTGTTTTTACATTGTTATTTAATAAATATAAAAGTAAAGACTGATTTGTGCAAAGAGAGTTATTGTGATAACAATCTTTCCAAAATAAGGTATAATAATAAATGAATTGTTATTTTAGGTCATAAATTACATGTAGTAAATATGAATCAACAGAGTGACAGTACAGATTTATTAGGAGGGTAGGTATAAAGAGTTTATTAACATTCTACTGATGCGTTCATGCAGTTCATTGAGGAGCATAGTGCTGAATCCAAGTTATAGAAGGAAAAATCCTTATTTGATTATACCCTTCTACAGTAATTTCTACTGGAATATTGAGGCATTTTGAAATAGTCACTAGTCTTATTTATTTTTGCTCTAGATTCAAACCAGTAGATATAAAGTTCCTGATTATGCCATTCAGAGAAGAATTTGAGATGTTGTTCTGTAAATCATTCTCTAGAAAACAGAATGCTAAGTTTCTTGGGCATGTGCAGGTATGATCTATTGAATTTGTGGGTTTTATGTCATATTTGGAATTTGGAAAATATCGCTTGGCGAAGTGGTTTATATGTCAAAATATATATATACCTAACAACATTATTACATATATGTACATTCAGCCCACATTGGCATAGTGAAATGAAATAAAATTAATTGAGTTTTACGTCCTACCACAATGGCATAGTGGCATCAGTTGAAAGGGTGAGCATTTCATGATCTTGATACCAATTACAAAGATTACAAGACAACAATCTTACTATGGCATTAGATGTTCTAAAAGTGTGGATGATGATTTATTATTTATATTTTGCAGGATTGTTTTTCAAGAAGGAAATGGACTGATTTATTGAAACTAATAGAACATACAGCAAATCGTGCTGTAACTAAATTTGAAAATGGTAAGTAAAGGTAACAGCTTGGTGGACAGAAATAATGAGGGAAGATGACATATTCAAGTACACCATACTTTAGACACCAACCAAGATTAGTACCCATAACCACCAATTATTTGTTCAACATGACAAAACAAATGACATTGAAGGATTCCAACACTCCAAACAATTGAGCTACAAACTGTTCTTAAATAACTATAAATTTTCAAATTGCAGATAATGATATTCTTTCCCAGTGGAAGGTTATTGAAAGACGTCAAAAACAACTGAAAATACAGATAAAGGAAACAGAAAATGTCTTGGCATTCTCCTTTATTGAGGTATTAATCTTTTTTAGTTTTCTTTGATGCCTTGGAAGTCTTGAGGGGTTGGTTAATTAGTGAGTTCTGCACATTTGGGTTGCATGGAAACAACTGGACGTTCAATAAAAACAATTTCGATCAATGTGCAGAATGCTTTCCATGTGTAAAATAGTAGGTGCAGATAGAATTCAAAATAGATGGGAAAATTTGGAATGTAACGTGTGCTTTTGTACCGTTAAATATGGGTCAGAATTGGAACAGAAGGAACCTGTTCAGAGCTTGCCAATCGAGCACCACTAGAATGTGCTATTATCTATCTTAATCTTGAATGTGTCAAACATTATTACAATATTTAATTTAGGGAACGTTAGTAAAGGCTATAAAAGAAGGAGATTGGGTGTTGTTAGACGAGATTAATTTGGCATCTGCCGAGACTTTGGAATGTCTGTGTGGTTTGTTAGAGAGTAGAAATGGTTCCATTATTCTGACTGAGAGAGGGTAAGTTGGTTTACTTTTGTCACTGATACATGTCAAACAGTTTCTAGAATTCCTTACATTGTAAAAGCATGAAATTGTTTGAGAGTTGGTAGGTACCAAAATAATTTTTACTCTTGTCTGTAATAAGTTGCTTTAATGGTAAAAATAGTTTTGTTCTTCATGAAATATTATAGTCCACTTTGATTTACTCAACATGGTTTGGAACTTTATATTGGTTATCTGCTTTGTACCTTGCCGGGTAGTGTGACCAAGACTAGTAGACTTAATTATCCAGTACACAGATCATAACAGTTGGCATTTTCAATTTATTCTTGAAAATATTGTTTTTTTTGCTAGTTTTCACTGTCTGATTCATTTCTTTTTTTATATTTTTACAGTGATATAGAGCCTATCATTCGCCATGAGAATTTCCGACTGTTTGCCTGTATGAATCCAGCTACAGATGTTGGTAAAAAAGATTTGACACCTGGTATTAGAAATAGGTAAGTTTTATTTAATTCATTCCTTTTTAATTTGCCCTTCTGATGAGTGGTTCTGATATACTATTTACGTGAGCAGGTATGCAGGTAAGTGAAATATGAACTTCTAATGTTTTAAGAGGTTAATTAACATTAGTTACAGACAGTGGTGTCCTTTTTTGAAATTGTCTATTCATGGAATTAATATTTATGGAACCCTGTGGTCCCTTACTTTATGATAAGACACTAAGTTTGAATTTAAATGATCCTGTATCAGTGTTACAATATATCCATACCCTCTCAACGTTTGCTTTTATTTCAGAAAACCCCCTTATTGTCCATACCCCCAAATCACAATGATCCCCTTGCAGGCTCATCCATCTCACCACCCTCCCATGTGATGTTGTGTTTTTCACATACACGCTCAAGTTTTGGTTTCATTTCAGATTTACTGAGTTTTATGTAGAGGAATTAACAGATAAGAATGATTTACGAATATTAACCAGTGACTATTTATCAGGACTGGCATTAACAGCTAATCATATCAGTGGTATAGTTAAATTCTATAGTACAGTACGGAATACAGCTGATAGGTCTTTAGTTGATGGTACTGGTCATAAACCACATTATAGGTGAGTTGAATACCAGCTTGAACAATTTCAAATATCAAACCATTCTCATTTTCCCCAAATGGATTCAGAAAAATAAGGAAGTAAAACTCTATTTCATTTCATTTCCAAATATCAAAGGATGATAATATATTTTTCAAAGATCGTCCTAAAGTAGCTGTGTCGTCTAGAATTACTGGAAAATGTCGCTTATGTAAGGTTTCCAGTTTTTGCATGAGTTCGTTCACCAACTCTATTTATTTGGATGTGACTAGTCTTTTGATTAAAGAATCTCAGAGACGTTGCGACAGCATGATATACATAATATCAGAAAAGTTACATCCAAACTTTAACTTGTTCTATAAGGTTAATATTTAGTTTATTATATATTGTAAACGTTTTCTGTTTCAGTTTAAGAACACTATGTAGAGCTTTAAGATATGCTGCTAGTAATCCTTGTGGACAATCTTCTAGATCATTATATGAGGTAAGTCATAACATTAACATATCTTTAGGAATTCTGTCTTGAATTCACACAATCTCTAGCCTGACCAGCCTTATTCGTTGTGGTATTGAATGAAGCAAAGTGACTTTGCAGAATATCCAGAAATGTTTTGATGGATTCAGCTTTGTAAATACCACAAGTTTTGTCAAATGAATCCATTGTCATGGTGAAAATTCTCAAAAACTGACAAGTAATTCCCATTTGAGCCTGGCCCTAACCATGACGATATCACATCCATATGTCATGTTTTCGAGGAAGGGTTGGGCCAGATTTGTCAGGCTATATGTATATTATTTACAGGACATGACTGTTAGATGTGTATACGCCATTTTGAAGCAGAGTATCAGATCATATTATTTTTGTCTTTAAATGCCAGATGTTTTTTCTCTATTTTCAGGGATTCTGTTTAAGTTTTTTAACTCAGTTAGATAGAATATCTCATCCTATAGTAGAACAGTTAGTCTGTAAACATGTGATTGGTAATTCTAATTTAAAATCCATGTTGAATCATAGTTTACAGTGTCCTAGTGGTGGTAGGTACCTACAATTTGAGGGATACTGGATATCACAAGGCAGTCTGGAACCTATTGTACCTGATGGTTATATACTGACACCCTCCGTGAGAGCTAATCTTAAAGATTTGGCTAGAATTGTTTCTGCTGGGTAAGTTTTTCTTGCATTGAATAAGGACAAGATAAATAGCTTAAGTTTTTGTGAAATACTGTTGACTGTATTTTTGTCAAATGTCAACCTGTACGAAAGACTAGGCTGTTGTAGTTCACTTAGATAAATTGTCATCACTGCGTTCTGTTGGGCATAGTCCATCTTCATTAGCAGAAAAAAGAATAAAAAAAAGACAGACATTATTTCACAGATTAAATTAGAGTAACATGTTTTTGTAGTGAACATCCAGTCTTATTACAAGGTGAAACATCAGTAGGTAAAACTAGTTTAATAACCTGGTTAGCCAAGTCTACTGGTAATGTTTGTGTTCGTGTCAATAACCATGAACATACAGATCTCCAGGAATATGTTGGTTGCTATGCAGCTGATGAATCGGGTAAACTTATCTTTAAAGAAGGTAAGAATAAGATTATCATTATTATTGATAATATGAAGTTCTTGGAAACAATGCATTCAAGAATGTCAAAAATGAACTGTTAAATTGACACACTAAACTGTTAAATTGTTATTGTCATTGGAATTGAGTAGGTAAAGAAAGAAAAAAACAACTAACATGGATAACAACTTGGGTTCACAATAATTCTTTCTACCAGCTGGTCCTTGGCCAAACCTCTTGGCATTGATCTTTCCCGGATTATTAGTACCCATGTGCAAATGTTTAGACAACTACATCACTTTAATTTGTATCTTTGATCATAAATAGTCATTTATTTACCAGGGATTCAGTCTTGATATATGTAATCATATTTCTAGGTGTACTAGTGGAAGCCATGCGTAAAGGACATTGGATCATACTAGATGAATTAAATTTAGCTCCATCAGATGTATTAGAGGCTTTAAACAGAGTATGTATTGTTGTTACAATAAGTAAAGAACTCTATTTCCTGTTACTTGAAATGAAATGAAAACAAACGATTGTGTCCTGTCAAATGCAATGAATGAACAAATCTGTCAAAATTGGGTGCTAATTCTACAAATAAAATATTGTTGATTTTGAATATTTATGCCCAGTAATTGAAACTCGAACTAAATACGCAAAATTATAGTTAGAGAGTACAATGTTCTCGGGATTGACAGTTCCTCTCAATTCCTTATGATTTTTATTTTACAGTTATTAGACGATAATCGCGAGTTATTTATACCTGAAACACAAGTCACAGTTAAAGCTCATCCTAAATTTATGTTGTTTGCTACCCAGAATCCTGCTGGACAATATGGTGGAAGAAAGGTAGGTGCACCCTCTAAAAATGTTACTGTATATGCTGAATTCTTGAAATTGAATCCTCTAAGAGGTGGAGCTATCTCGCTCATGTTCAATGAATAGACTTACTTCCTCTAAGATCTGATGTTGGAAAGTTAAGCTTAATTTCCAAATCTAGCTTTCTTATCAAAGATTTTAGATCCTCAACAAGTTTCAGTAACAAAAGATGATATAAGCTGTTATAAATAAAGATGTTTACAGATGTAGATATCAAATCATACACTTGTTTCACTAATGTATCTAAATTCTTATATCAACCTTCAAAATAAGCAGTTTGAGTATAGCTCTTATGATTAACGTTGCTCATAGAGATACTTATATAGATACAGTCCAATGTTACTAATTAGGTCAGCTGATCTGGAGATGATGGTTAAATTTCCTGTATTTTGGTGTTGATGAACCAAAAAGTAAGCCAATTCAATAAACTTTAACTATTCCAATCTTCCAATTTCAGATTTTGTCCAGAGCTTTCAGGAATCGTTTTATTGAGCTACATTTTGATGAGATACCAAGTGGAGAGTTAGAGACAATATTACATCTGAGATGTTCTATACCTCAATCTTATTCTAAACGACTAGTAGCTGTCATGTTAGATTTACAGGTAGGTCTGATGTTGTTCTTAGATTAAGCATTTCTTAAGATTTATTCATGTGGTTGTAAAACCTTTAAACAATGCTTCATAAGAGTTCATTGGCTTGTTACAAGAAGTCTTTTCAGCTTAGCTGCTTGATTTTATATTTGCATTTCTTGAACAGAAGAGAACTATTCATTTTTTTCTTTATTTTGTGGTTTTATCCTGAAATGTATAGTAAACTGTTAGAGATTAGGGTGGTTGAAAAGTAACAAGTTACTATCCAACAGAAGGCACTGGCACAGGGTAAGATTTAACTATGAATTTCTCATGATTTATTTTATGTAGACTAGAAGACGTAGTTCTGGAGTATTTGCTGGTAAACAAGGCTTTATGACATTGAGAGATTTATTTCGCTGGGCTGAGAGATATAATACACCAGATGATGTACCTACTAATAGATATTATGATTGGGATCAACATCTAGCTGACCATGGTATATAGCAAATTACTTTTTTTTTTTGAACAACAATCGCTTGTAAAAGTTTTATGCAACGTTTCGACATATTCCTTTATCATCCTCAAGTACATATGTAGGAAATTTAAGTTATATTTGATACACAGCTTTATGGAACAACTATCACTGGTTAAAGTTTTATTCGATGTTTTATTCAATGTTTCAACAGTCTTGTTGTCCTCAGACATATATTTCCTTTCTCCTTTCATCGATAATAGAATTTTTGTTTTTTTTTATGTTATAGGTTATATGTTGCTGGCTGGAAGAGTGAGAAAACCAGATGAATGCCAGGTTATCCAGGATGTTTTATCTAAACATTTTAAACGTAAAGTGAATCCAGATAGACTGTTCAACCTAAACACAGAAACATCATCTACTACCTCGTCCTTGTTAGATACAGCTCTCAACCAATCATTGACAGGCTTTCAACACATAGTCTGGACATATAGTATGCGTAGATTAGCTGTTCTGATTGGTCAAGCTTTGAAATTTAAGGAACCTGTACTACTAGTTGGTGAAACTGGGTGAGTATACTTGTATTTTGTGTTTTGTTCTCAGAAAGCTAATCATTGACTGCGATAAGATGAACCACCCACTTCTTGGTAGTATATATTATAGAATATCTTTTGTGAAAAGGAAAATAAAGTTTATGAACTGGCGGCATGAAACTTGTTTGTTTTTGTTGAATCGTTATTATAAAATATTGAAATTCATAAGACACATTGATAACTTTTACTTTCTCCATATTTTAGTTGTGGTAAAACTACAATATGTCAACTGTATGCTGAGTTGAAAGATCATCCATTATATAGTGTTAACTGCCATCTACATACAGAGAGTGCTGATTTTCTCGGTGGTTTACGACCTGTTAGAACTCATTCTTTAGATGATGTAAGTAGCCATTTAATGCATGGAGAAATTTTAGTCTTTATTAGAGACTCCACGAATTATTTCAGAAGGCCTTTACAATTTATACATATAAATCAAATAAAACATAAAAGTTACTATCAAAAGCCTTCTTATGAAGCTTACTGTTTGCTGGAGACTCATTGCTAAAGGTCTGGGGCCCTATCTTATAGAAACTGAAATATTAACATTAGATTTGTGTTGATGAAGGTCAGAGAAAGGACATAATTTTGAGACCCTTTGCGACACTGGCTGGGCTAATCTCAGCAAAATTTCCCACATTGCACACTGCATGTTATATAATTTCACCCATCAGAATTGTAGAATTTTTATTTCTTATTATTTTCATATCTCTTGATACTTGAATTCCATTTTTTATTTTAAGTCAATTCTGACCTATTTTTATACAGGACAGCCAAGATAAACTGTTTGAATGGGTAGATGGTCCACTAGTACAAGCTATGAAAAAGTCGGCCATGTTTTTGATAGATGAGATATCACTAGCTGATGATTCAGTATTAGAAAGACTAAACAGTGTATTAGAACCCGAAAGAAGGTTGTTATTAGCGGAAAAAGGAGGAGGAGATGGGTATCAGAATGAATCTGAAGAAATTACAGCCGGTGATGATTTCAGAGTCTTTGCTACCATGAACCCTGGCGGAGATTTTGGCAAAAAGGAGGTAAGTATCATTCATTTCAGGTTATATTGACAATTGTCACCTAGTTATAAGTTCAGAATGTTTGCAATGATAGATAAGTTGTGTTGGGCAGCCATTACTTGTTTGAAATTAAATAATGGTATTGTTTTAGAAGTTGACAGTATTATCTAGCACCTAGACCTTGGCCAGTGCTTCTTTAATACATAACATAGATATCTGAACACATTCTGTTCTTATACAAATCATAACTTTGAACGTTTTTGGGTCGAAACTTAAGAGGCTAGTTTTATATTGTGCTCAGTAAGATTAAATTAAAATTATATGGGCTCTAGGTGTTAATGTTTTGAATCGTCTGAGGATGTATATCTTTCTTTGAGTTATTCTTTGTTAATTTGGAAAGAAATGTTTTGAAGTTTTGTACATGACACTTTGTAATTGATGTGATTACTTTATTTTCAGCTATCCCCAGCATTAAGAAATAGATTTACTGAGATCTGGTGTCCACCATGTATTATACGAGATGATATGATTTCAATAATAGAACATAATCTAGAACATGGTATCTATCTCTCTAATCAACAAGACAATACGTCTGGTATAGGACCAGCTATCATGGACTTTATACATTGGTTTAGTAATAATGAAATTGGAAAAAGGTATGTTCAAAATTTGAATCATCTAAAAGGATAGGGAATGGATTCAGAAACAGTTTTGTGAATGTCTTAATCTTTGTATATGGATGCTAGCAATATATACAAAATAAATTTAACACCTTGCATAGCACAGATACTAATGAACTGATTTGACCTTTACGGTTAAGATTCTTGAATGTGATGATAAGAAATTGGAACATACTGTGAAACAGTCCCTATGCCTAGAAAGTCCAATATTGGTTTAGGTCATCATATTTGTCAGTGACTAATGTCAAATTTTTTTTAGATTCATACACCAATCATAAGTCCAGATTAATTTTGCATACATTTTGGTGAAACTGTGTTAATTTGATACCCATAAGTCTCAAATTAAAATTACAAAAAAGATTCCTGTATCCTTTAGTATGTATTATTTTAAGTAAAAAGTAAATTTTAATTGAATTTATTTATTTGATTGTAGATGTACAGTGAGTATAAGAGATATATTAAGTTGGGTAAACTTTATTAATATATGTTCTATAAAAGATAATGATATAAGTGACAGTGGATATTTACCAATACCTATATCATATATACATGGTGCTTCTCTTGTCTTTCTGGATAGTCTCGGCTCAGGTGAGTGGTCTTATTGTTAAGAGTTTGTTTAACTCATTCTTGGAGTAGAAGTCTACTGGCTCATACCTTTTTAGTGAGCTCACTTACTTTGGCGTAATGTCCAATGTTGAGAATTTTGTATCCTGATGAGGATTGTTTATCCAAAAAATGTTTGAACTAGACTTTTGTTAAATGCCAATAGTATGATTATGTCTCTTGTGAAATCTTTCGTAACATGTGGTATATTGGTTGACAGAAAACAAAATATATTGTAAAAAGATGAGTGTTGTTTATAGAGAAATATTCCTTCAAAAACCTAGCTGCTTCCTTACTGATCAGCTGATAGACAGGATCTTTCCAATCATGCACATCATTGGTTCAAATTGTGATTCTTGAGTATAACAAATTGTATAGTAGACATGTCAGAAGTGTTTTCTCGCTGAATCTTTTGTAAAAAAATTTATTTGTCTATGTTACAGGTCATACAAGTAGTGGAGGTGAATTTAGTCCTACAGTAGCTAAAGAAACATGTATAGAATATTTGATACAGCAGATTAAACAGTTGACTAATACAGTTTATACAGTAGATGATCTAGGTTTCTCTCATAAACAATTAGATATTATACAGACAGATACCACTTTTACTATTCCACCATTTACTATAACTAAAGGTAGGTGGCCTGTTTACTAACTCACTGTTTTGGTTTGATAGTTCTGTCTTGTGTCCTCTATAACTAAAGGTAGGTAGCCTGTTAACTGACCCACTGTTTTGGTTTGATAGTTCTGTCTTGTGTCCTCTATAACTAAAGGTAGGTAGTCTGTTAACTGACCCACTGTTTTGGTTTGATAGTTCTGTCTTGTGTCCTCTATAACTAAAGGTAGGTAGCCTGTTAACTAACTCGCTGTTTTGGTTTGATAGTTCTGTCTTGTGTCCTCTATAACTAAAGGTAGGTGGCCTGTTAACTAACTCGCTGTTTTGGTTTGATAGTTCTGTCTTGTGTCCTCTATAACTAAAGGTAGGTAGCCTGTTAACTAACTCACTGTTTTGGTTTGATAGTTCTGTCTTGTGTCCTCTATAACTAAAGGTAGGTGGCCTGTTAACTAACTCGCTGTTTTGGTTTGATAGTTCTGTCTCGTGTCCTCTATAACTAAAGGTAGGTGGCCTGTTAACTAACTCGCTGTTTTGGTTTGATAGTTCTGTCTTGTGTCCTCTATAACTAAAGGTAGGTAGCCTGTTAACTAACTCACTGTTTTGGTTTGATAGTTCTGTCTTGTGTCCTCTATAACTAAAGGTAGGTAGCCTGTTAACTAACTCACTGTTTTGGTTTGATAGTTCTGTCTTGTGTCCTCTATAACTAAAGGTAGGTAGCCTGTTAACTGACCCACTGTTTTGGTTTGATAGTTCTGTCTTGTGTCCTCTATAACTAAAGGTAGGTAGCCTGTTAACTTGACCCACTGTTTTGGTTTGATAGTTCTGTCTTGTGTCCTCTATAACTAAAGGTAGGTGGCCTGTTAACAAACTCACTGTTTTGGTTTGATAGTTCTGTCTTGTGTCCTCTATAACAAAAGGTAGGTGGCCTGTTCTCTGACTCGCTGATTTGGTTTGATAGTTCTGTCTTGTGTCCTCTATAACTAAAGGTAGGTAGCCTGTTAACTAACTCACTGTTTTGGTTTGATAGTTCTGTCTTGTGTCCTCTATAACAAAAGGTAGGTGGCCTGTTCTCTGACTCGCTGATTTGGTTTGATAGTTCTGTCTTGTGTCCTCTATAACTAAAGGTAGGTAGCATGTTAACTGACCCACTGTTTTGGTTTGATAGTTCTGTCTTGTGTCCTCTATAACTAAAGGTAGGTAGCCTGTTAACTAACTCACTGTTTTGGTTTGATAGTTCTGTCTTGTGTCCTCTATAACTAAAGGTAGGTAGCATGTTAACTGACCCACTATTTTGGTTTGATAGTTCTGTCTTGTGTCCTCTATAACTAAAGGTAGGTAGCCTGTTAACTAACTCACTGTTTTGGTTTGATAGTTCTGTCTTGTGTCCTCTATAACTAAAGGTAGGTAGCCTGTTAACTGACTCGCTGATTTGGTTTGATAGTTCTGTCTTGTGTCCTCTATAACTAAAGGTAGGTAGCCTGTTAACTGACCCACTGTTTTGGTTTGATAGTTCTGTCTTGTGTCCTCTATAACTAAAGGTAGGTAGCCTGTTAACTGACCCACTGTTTTGGTTTGATAGTTCTGTCTTGTGTCCTCTATAACTAAAGGTAGGTAGCCTGTTAACTTGACCCACTGTTTTGGTTTGATAGTTCTGTCTTGTGTACTCTATAACTAAAGGTAGGTAGCCTGTTAACTGACCCACTGTTTTGGTTTGATAGTTCTGTCTTGTGTCCTCTATAACTAAAGGTAGGTAGCATGTTAACTGACCCACTGTTTTGGTTCGATAGTTCTGTCTTGTGTCCTCTATAACTAAAGGTAGGTGGCCTGTTCTCTGACTCGCTCAGTTCTGTCTTCTGTCCTCTCCTGTCCATGTATTTTTCTTGTTTTCTCCTGTCCATGTATGTTTCTTGTTTTCTCCTGTACATGTGTGTTTCTTGTTCTTACCTATTAGAATCAAGGGAGTGGAAGAACTGTTGACCTGTGATGGGACTTTTTACGCTTCCTTACAATCTGTACACATTTAAATACATATGTAGTTCGAAATAGAAATGAAGTAGGCTATTGCAGCTGTTGTAAAATTTCCTCCATTGTACACTGGATGTAGTCTTTTATTATAACCCTGTTAATGTGCAGAAAATTCAGAAGTAAAAATTCGTTTAATTTCAACGTATTATGTTTATTGTGTTTTGTAGGTCCATTAAAAGAAAGTGAATATGAGAAATATGCACTAAAAGCTCCTACCACTAGTTTAAATGCTTTACGTATATTACGAGGTTTACAGCTGTCTAGACCTTTATTACTGGAGGGGTCACCTGGTGTTGGTAAAACTAGTCTTGTTACAGCTATAGCTAGACATACTGGTAGACAGCTAGTTAGGATTAATCTCTCCGAACAAACAGTAAGTATTTTCTATCACATCTGTTTCTTGATTCTTGTCATTGATATTTATGCTGTCAAGAGGGATGATCAATTCTTTCACTTCAACAATTTCTTGTCTTTCATGTTCACTTAGGGACTGCATTATTAAGCAACATGCTAAAGGGACTTAAAAACTATGTATTACATAAAACACAAGATATAACAACTTATCTATTCAGGTGCTCAAGCCTGTATTTTTATTTTAACTCTTCCAAAAGATGGAATTGCAGTTGAAACTATTCTGTGGTATTTTTAGGATGTTACAGATTTATTTGGTGCTGACCTACCAGTAGAAGGAGAGAAAGGTGGTACGTTTGCCTGGAGAGATGGTCCATTATTACAGGCTTTAAAATCTGGACATTGGGTAGTACTAGATGAGGTAGGCTCCTTTTCTTTTGTCATAGTTGAGTCCATTGGCCTCAAAATCACTATACTTTGGGAAGAAGCTTGAAAATATTAAAAGATGGAGATTCTTATCTGGGTTCTATACATTACAAAGGTAAAGGATGGAGAGCAAATTGAAAATAAACATCCTTAAGTTTCTTGTTCTGTTCTACCAGCTGGTTTTTGGTCGAATCTGTGGGCAACTATCTTCCAGGATTAAGTGCATTTATAGTTGGATATGTTTGGAATAAATAACAATGAATTGTATAAAATTTATACATTTCAGTTAAATTTAGCCTCTCAGTCTGTACTGGAAGGGTTGAATGCCTGTTTAGATCACCGAGGGGAGGTGTATATACCAGAACTTAGTAAAACATTTCATATTAAACAAGATGAAACGAGAATATTTGGTTGTCAGAATCCATTACATCAAGGTGGAGGTAGAAAAGGTCTACCTAGATCATTTCTCAACAGATTTACACAGGTATTTGTTTTGTATTTCCAAGTTAAAAGATGCAAGGAAAATTTCTAACACTACTAACAGTGTTTTTGAGAATAAGTTGAGTGCTGGTACTTGCCCTACCATGTATATTATAATCCTATTTATGTATTTCCAGGTGTATGTAGAACCATTAGAAAGAGAAGATTTATTATTTATATCACAGTCTATGTATCCTACAATATCAACAGTATTACTGTCTCAAATGGTCAACTTTAATATGACAGTAAGTAGACATTCATTGTATTGAAAAGAGAATATGCTTGGTTTTAGAAGCTGAGTAAGGCAAAGGGTCAAAAATTTGAATTGTTTCCATTTTGCTTCAAGATTGGCTTATGATCAGGTCAGGTGTCAGGGGTACAGTATAATTTGTTACTGCAACGAAGCTTTTTGATATTTTCCATTTTTACAAGATAAACTCTTGTTTTTAAGCCTGTAAGTCTGTAGTGTTTCCAGAACAACAGTATTTTTCACTCGGCTTTTCTCCTGTCAGTGGATAATTTTTCCCTCATTGCTCATACTATTATCTCATGAATCTGAGTAACAACATGTTTCAGGTTCTGTTTTAATATTTCTAGATCTATGAAGAGACAGTAGAGAAGAGATTGTGGGGTAGTAAAGGAGGTCCCTGGGAATTTAATCTTCGTGATTTATTTAGATGGTGTGATCTCTTACTATCTAATCAGGTACTGTACCCTTTTGTGAATGGCTCAAAATTTATTTGTTTTGCAAAGAATGGACTCATTTCTCAAAAATGTTACCACACAATGTAAACTGTAAAAAAAATTGTTACAATAATTGGCATTAATTGACTCATTGGTGTTATTTCATTTTTGACAAAGTTAAATGTTTTTTAGCTATTTTTTTTTGTCTTATTGTCGGTCTTAATAATACGTATATTGAATGATTACAGGTAGAAGGTAGTTATAAACCAGGAGAATATCTATCATTAATATACAGTGATAGAATGAGAACTATACCAGATAAACAAAAGGTAAGAGCCCAATGCTTAAATATATTCAAATTTTGTATGTTGTGGATTATTCATTGGTTTGAAATTGAGTAAGAAGTATATACCAGAACTATAGAAGTCTGGGAAATCGGAATCATGCAAATAGAAGTTAAAACTGTACCCATTACTCTTACAAAGACTAGAAAACCACTTTTCAATCACTTTAAAGAGCCACATAATAATGTCATTTCATTGGCAGAAACTCTTAATTCATTCGTTTCTCTGTACATCGAATGTACGTTAGATTGTAGTCAACTGTTTTATATTTTATTTATGTAGGTAATAGAATTATTTGAGAGATGTTTTGATGGTGAAACAGTCTACCAATCATCCAGGTATATCTCAGTCAACCAAGACATGGTACAAGTTGGACATTCCTTTCTACCCAGAGTTAAAACTCAGACTTCATCATCATCTTTATCATTAAAAATATTACATCATGACCTTCAACCACTGGAATCCATTATAAAATGTGTCGAGATGAACTGGATGGCTATTTTGGTGAGTGGTTTGGATTTCTTATTATGAGTTGAATATGTTTGGATTGCATAAAATGCTGGAAGATTGGACTTTTAGTATGTTATCCTAGACATATACCTGAAGCTATCCTGAAAAACTCGACATGATCAATATCAACTAATGCTCTTGACCTATTCTATACCAAATTTGTTGTTTGATTTATGGTATGTGATTGAGAGAGCTGTGCTGGCTGATGGAAGCTAGGTTCATCATCTGAAGGGTCCAAAAGTTCAATCAGGATATTCTCAATTATGTTTTCTGTATGGGTAATGCTAACATGGCAGGGGAGATAGTTATACTGGGTTATGAAAAAGGACAAACCTAGAATTTTAGAAATGGTACGAAAAGATACTAGTTAACGTGATCTGAGAAAAATACACCCCAACTGAGGAGTAAATTTACCTTGTTTCTTGATTCCATGTAATTGCATTTTGCTATTGAGTGTTTTGTCTTTATTTTGTAGGTAGGACCACAGGCCAGTGGTAAAACTAGTGTCGTACGTCTGCTAGCTGATCTTACTGGTCAACAGTTACATGTTCTACCCATGAACAGTTCTATGGATACTACAGAATTATTGGGTGGTTTTGAACAGGTAGATAAAGTTTATTGTTTTCTTTTAACTTTTAAGGCCATACAAACTAAATAGTCTGATTTACAGGCCCAAAAATGCCTGATTGTTGCCTTAATATTAAATGTACATAATTTGTGGCAGTAAATAATAAATGCTGTCGCTTGCTCCGATTTATTCCAGTTGAAAATCTAAAAAAGCGCTTATGAATAATAAATAATAAATTCGCCCTCTCACCCTGATTTTGAAAAAAAAGGCCTGTAAAACAGACTATTTATTTTGCATGACCTTGTACTTTAAGAAATATCAAGCTGATGGACAATTTTTCTACAAAAATTTATCAGGCCCATGGGGCATTTGGATACAATTACTAAAGTTAAACACATAGATTTTGGAATGCATTTTATTCTCATTTGGTAATTTTGATTTTCTTGAAAGGAACTGTACAAGATTATATGGATGACAATTACTTTATAAGATAACTTGCAACATTTTAAATTGTTTGATATTGCTTAGAGTATCATGAAAAAGTTGTAGGTTATTTATTCAACTTATTGTTATCCATTTGTCCAGTTATTTATTCAAGTAATTGTTATCCATTTGTCCAGTTATTTATTCAAGTAATTGTTATCCATTTGTCCGGGTTATTTATTCAAGTAATTGTTATCCATTTGTCCAGTTATTTATTCAAGTAATTGTTTTCCATTTGTCCAGTTATTTATTCAAGTTATTGTTTTCCATTTGTCCAGGTTATTTATTCAAGTAATTGTTATCCATTTGTCCAGGTTTTTTTTTATTCAAGTAATTGTTATCCATTTGTCCAGTTATTTATTCAAGTAATTGTTATCCATTTGTCCAGTTATTTATTCAAGTAATTGTTATCCATTTGTCCAGATTTTTATTCTCCAGTTGTCACATGTCATGCAAGAAAGTTTTCTTGAAAGATTTTATACTGAAATACTAAAGACTATAATATAAGTGTTTGGTGCGGAACATTTCTACGTAATGAATTATCATAAGTTACCAATGTTTCATTATCACTATTACTATTACTATCGAGATCTTGTATTTCACTTAAACAATTAGTCAGTACTTCAGCTTGATGACTTTGATAATGTTCATTTCTAAAACCTGTATCGTAGGCTTTATATCGTTTCTGTATCTTCTGACGTATAACTTCCTTGGAATGCGAGGGTTTTAACGGAATGGCATTGCTATATACTTCACGTACTAATGTTTGTCTGTTTAAAACATCGTAATATATTATACTACAAAACACAGGGGTAGTTATAGGCTGGGACCAGGCAAATACGGTTAAATAACGATATGTTTTAGCCGATTGTTTGAAATCTTTGTCGAATAACGTAA